ACAGAGATTACAACTAAAAATTCATCCTAGTTCGTGTTGCTCATTCTTTAGTTTTCTATGCAGTGCTTTGAAGACTTGTTTGTGTATCTATCGATTTTGTTTGCCGTAGTTTCGTCGGTTTCATTCGAATTATGAATTTGATTGTACCTTTGGTATCTTCAGCCTTGTTTTAATGAATAAGATATTTCAGCAATTCCGGCCATGAAGATGTTTAATAAACAATTTTCATATCACCGACTTTTGACTCTGGAGTATACAATTTTCCGACAGGATAATAATTCTGTGGTGGGACAATATAGTACTCGGTCCAGTAAAAACAACTGAAAGAAGCAAAATCAAGCTTACAATCGGTGAAATTTTGGGGAAAATTACTGTTTTCCACACAGAAGGTAACCTGCCGAAAAATGATATACCTCAAAATTTGGTAGTATGAAAATAGTATATTTTCATATATTCCTTGATATATTGCATACAAGATATTGCCTTACACCAATGTATGTATCGCTGAAAAGGTTTTTAGTCTGGTATTTGATACACAAGATCAAATATCAGTTCAGTATGAAACTTGCGTTAAGTGTTGTTGAAAAATAAAAATTACACTTTACAAATTTCGTGTGTCCGAAGCACTTTTCTAGATTGAACTTCTCCGGGAACGCTTAAACCCAAACATTTCAAAAACAAGGGTGTAGAAATCCGTAGAAACATAAGTAGCGATTGCATAAAGATTTGGCATTAAAAATTTACGTTAAGCAGATTTAGGATATAGAAAGAAAAAAAATAACAAGTACTTACTTTTATCCTCTATAGTTTTAACATTTTCCTTCATTGCTGACACCTGTGTATGTAAATCTTGTATCAAAGATATTACCTGCGCCTTTTGTCGAAATTTGGATAACAACTCCTTCCTGTGTTTAAGCTCTTGGACTTTAGTATGCAATTCTTCTGTAGTAAGAGATGACAAGTCTTCCGCCTTTTTCCTTTCTTCCACATATTTACTTGTCTGTTCTATCTTCTCATTTAATTCTTGCAGTTGCATATCAAATTTGGACCGGGCTGAAATATCGGTTGCCATAGGGGCTACACCTTGGATAAAATGAAAATATAAAGCTAACAATATTACTGTGATTACACTCATAATCTGGTACCTTTTTAAAATATCCGGCATCTATAACAATTTATGTAATATTTTAATCACTTTTCTGTAATGAGTTAAATAACTAAATGTACGTTTAACACCAAGGATTCCGACCGTTGATCTCTAACCCCAAACAACAATTACCAAATTACTATATCCCTATCATAACTTTAAGATAATCCTTTGAATCACTTAGATTTATTACCATATTTTGCAAGAAAGATTTGTACATTTGTTGAAATATGTTATAGTTTCGTATCAATACATAATGGTGTACATACTGTTGGAAACATTTGGTACGTCATTTCTTCCAAATGAATCAGTTTTCAAATCTTCTTGAACGTTTGTTTGTACTTCTGATTGTAATGATTGTATTTCTTTTATAAGTTGTTTTTGTCTTAGAGCTTTCTTCTGAATTTCAAGTTGTTCTATCTTCTGAATAAGTTCGTCTCTCGTGGATGTTGCTTCATTGCTTTGTTTTGTACTTTCGTTAATTATCACATTCCCAATTGCCCTAGTTCTTTCACCGTCTGGAATGCTTGCTAATGTATTTGTAGTTGGTTCAATCTTTAGTTTATGCTGGTGGTCCTCTTCCTCTTTGTAGTTTCGTTTCTCTGTTAATAATGTTTCTGTTGATATATTTGTTTCAGTCTTCCTTAGATTTTCGTCATCGTCCTCTTTTTTATGGTCATTAGATGTTGCTTTTTCGTTTTCCATTTTTAATACTATCAGTAGTATACCTAATAAAGACGTTTATTAAAAGTTTGTAATTATATCTTAGTCTTTGTCACGCTTTTATCGCGTTTTGCTTTGTATATTTACCCAATAACCAAAAACAAAACAAAAATATTTTTATTGAACTTTACTTTAACTAGGCATTGATTTGGAACGATTCGATTTCGTTAATTAATTGTGTTAGCATACTTTCAGTATAACGGATTTAGTTTCATATTTAAACACAATATTATACATCAGCTAAATCTCACCAAAGATATAAGGCTTACAATTTGGTACACCATAGAGCGTTGGAAGTCCAAATAAAATGCAGTGATAAAGAGCATAAAAAAAACAAAAAACAAAAAAATATGCCAAAATCATTATTGTTTTATACTTTATTTTAAGATAATGATTGACCTTACTTAAAAGTACCAATACCAAATAATATAGAGGATTATCCAGGATATAGTCAAAGTTATTTGTATAATATGTTCCAGGTCATTCGTATATATATTTGTATAAGAAAGTTTGGTATTGTTTAACCAAATGCCGACAATTTTTCTTTGTTACATCGACGAGTCCGCTGAAGAAAGTTTACAGATCAAATATTGAATAGAAACTAACTTTTAACATTTTAATAATGATATCCCGTCCCCTTTTTCCTGAAAGTGACCTACCGAGTTAGACTTACCAACGAGTTATTACTTACATGAGCAACATGACGGGTGCCACATGTGGAGCAGGATCTGCTTATCCTTCCGGAGCACTTGAGATCCCCCTAGTTTTTGGTGGGGTTCGTGTTGCTCAGTCTTTAGTTTGTTGTGATATGTGTACTGTTGTTTGTCTTTTTTTAGCTATAGCGTTGTCAGTTTATTTTCGACTTATGAGTTTGAATGTCTCTTTTGTATCTTTCGCTTCTCTTTGTTATATAACAAATTTACAACATTAATAAATTAAGAAAGGTCGGGTTTTACTCAAATTTGTTTGTAAATTAAATGGACAAATAAAATTTTGGAATTGTAAATTTTGGACAGGGGCAACCTTTAGTTTGAAGAATCAGAATTCAAATTTGCCTTTGGAGATATGTTTAATTTAACTCAAACGAAGTGAAGATTCTTTTTTAAAAAGCATATCGCTCATAAATGGAACTTTCATACATTGTAGTTTTTTCTAAGTTCTTTCTTCTGGAGATCTTATACAAATATTCGGCTTTGAGCTTTTCTGATGAAGGTAAATCCAGAAAATCGCTTAGGAGGCATGACATTTATGACGAGTTGTTTTCAATTCTTGTATACTGCAGCATTGCCGTCATGAAGTTTTGCCAGAAGTTTAAAGTTTCAGACAGTTGTAAAGTTTAACACTGATCATGCGTTATCAAGTATTGACTATTGTAATTGCATTATACCGCCAAATGAACACTTAAATTTAACAATACCTCACAGGAAGAGTGCAGAAACGGATAAGATAAAAGGATAATATGAGAGAGGAGATAGACTATGACAACCGCAGTGCAAAGCAATATGTCATACTGGCTATTTGATGAAAATGACACTTTATGAATGACTTGCGTCTGCATCCAGGTTAAAATAACTGACAGAAAAACTAAAAAAAATCGTGTTTTTCATTAAGGTTCAGTTCAAAAGTCTACGTTTGCACAAGCACATATGAATTTAAGATTACAAGGGTTTCTTATTTTAACCTCTTGCTGATTAATGATATTGGGATATATATGAATTTCTAGACACATTACGGTGGTATTGAGAATAAAGATTCGATATATTGAACTATAAGACTAAGACACCAGTCATTATTGACACAATATCAATTGTGTAATAGGAATTGGAAGTTTCTCCTTTTCTTACTTCAAAATTGTAGATGGCGACTTTTTAATGATTCATGTCACTCCCTCACGCTCTCGAGTTTTAACATTTATGACATCCGTCCCAGGATAAACGGTTCCTATATTAAGCATATAATTTTCAACTTGCAATAAGGGGAAAATAGCCGTTGGTTTGCGTTATATCGCACAATTTTTATATGTACTTAATGAGAGGGCATTAATTGTAATGCAATCTTCCATCGATTTCATTACAATTAAATCATACTAACGACAAGCCCTGCAATTGTATCTTATTTTATCGGTGTATATCAAACGTGTTTCAGTTCTCGCTGACAAGTTTTCCTTATTGTCAGAAAAGGGATTTTTGAAGGATACAAGGAGAGGAAATAGTAACCTCTTTTTTAATTCTATTCCAGATAAATAGAACATGTTACCATTTTGTAAAACTGTATACTGAGTACATCTTGGAGATCTCAAAATTATGAATATGATTGAAACGTTACTAGGGCAACAACCTTCTGTTTCTCCTACTTGAAATTGCATCAAACATTGAGGGTAAGTACTTGAAATATTCTAAACATTTTATGCACAGTTTTCTAATCACATTGTATCAGAGCGACCACACCAGGCAAGAAAAGAGTGAACTGTAGATGTTGCTACCTTATATATTTATTTCATTGGAGGTATCTTCTAATTATACGTTCATTTACATTAAACGTGATGGGAAAAAGGCAAATGGCGAGAACATACATGAGACAACGTTCAAAAATATAATGGTATATAACTTTACTTCAAAGTAATATTAACCTGGAAATTGTCGCTCCGTCTATATTCGCGATTTGTCGACTGAATTAAAATTAGCTTCGCTTTATATTCGCGATTTCATTATGGTATTTATTGAAAAAATTTCTGTTTTAGGAGCAGCGCTGTCATTGCTGCTCTTTATCTTAAAATTACCGGACCTGGTTCGGTGGTGATATTAATAACTCCCACCTTTCAAACAACAAAACAAGACCAAAAATTGAAAATGGAAATGGGGAATGTGTCAAAGAGACAACAACCCGAGCAAAGAGCAGAAAACAGCAGAATGCCACCAATGGGCTAAATATATATGTAAACCTTATATTGATGACAATCGAAACAATTATCAGAGAGACGATGTAAAATACAATTTTAACACTGATTCCCATTTGCAGATTGGAAAATGATCGTTTTAATACTCCACAAACTTTAGATCAAACATGTATCTATGCTGGTGTTCCGAGGACGTAAGTACATAAAATTCTAACATTAACACACTTCTGCATATACATTTTTCAAACTTTATTTCTCAAATAAACTTCGTCATGGAAATAATAATAATAAAAAAGGAAAAATTTAACAATCACTGACATAGAATTCAATTCAATTCATTCCTTTTCGATGTCATTTTTATCTTCTAGTTTCGAAGATTATGCTGATAATAATATTTATTGGTTACAGGAGTCAATACATGAATATAAAATCATGGTTCAAACCTGATATTTTTTAAAGTAAATATGAACTTGTAAACTAGATACAATTCCATAAAAGGTCTATCATATAATTATGTCTTAAAAACTTAGTTTCCTTCATCTTGTTTATCATTATCAGGTTTCATCTTTGGAGAACCTCCAAGAAATAATGTTTTGTTCAGTGTCGATGATAATATCGGCATTTCATATCTATCTGACGTATAAACCAGCTCATTTCTTACATCTTGTATTATGGACGTTATGTCAAACCTGAAATATGACGAAATCATCATACAGTTAGCCAGTTTGCAAACAGACAAAAATTATGTCAAGTTATAACATAATTTGGATTGAAATTAGTTTTTACCAAAAAAAAAAAGCTTATCAAGCTAAAACAAAACATACAGCTGACATAACAAACAGGGATTCATACCTCGACATTTATTAATCAACTATTAGATCGAGACTATCCCGGTTTTTGGTGGGGTTCGTGGTGCTCAGTCTTTAGTTTTTCTATGTTGTGTTTTGTGTACTGTTGTTTTTCCTTTTAGTCATTTTTCGTTTTTTGCCATGTCATTGTCAGTTAGTTTTCGATATATGAGTTTAAATATTCCATGGTATCTTTTGCCTCTCTTTTGCATCCACAATTGAAAACTATACAGTGATTATTTATCCATTCATAAATTTCCCAATTCTTAATCTCAACAAACTACTACTGTTTACACTGTTTACATTTTACAATTAGTTAGTCATTCAAGTGTTTTTGTCGAATTAAGTCATTTCTTACTGTAGTTTAAAAAAGCTGCTCGGTAAAAGCCATGATAAACAAAGGTTGGTTTCGTCACATTTTATTGTTGTCACGTCTCCCAGTTTCCAAAGATGTATTGTCTTAAAGTGTTCTGTTATTGTTATTTCATAGTTTTACAGACCAATACCACAATTATAGCATACGAAACCTAAAGCATCTGATACCACCCTTAGTTTTTATTCTCCACTTGAAGCTTCAGTTTAAAATGTTAATTGTTATTTTTCATAGTTTTGTTCTTGTCTGCTCTTTGGTCGGGTTGTTGTCTCTTTGACATATTCCTCATTTCCATTCTCAATTTTATTGTGTCAATAATTGAGCACTAAACCTATGTTTTGGTTGTCGCATTCCTGTAATGTCCTGTGAATTTACGCATTCACTTCAATTTTCTCTTAAAGTTCTTATTGTTTTTTTATAAGATCATAACTTAGAAATAAAAGCTAGTAACGCTATCGAAAATCCCAGCATTATAATACTGTGATAAATCATACCTGTTATGCTTTTTGAGTAGATGTTTTGCGAAACAGCCAAGAAACGATGGTGCCTCCTCAGAGACAAATGGACCATTGGCAGTTGCTATCATAAAATGTGGTTCACCCAGAATATGTGTTGTTGACGAGTCTACAAAATTGCATGTACAATGTATATTATTATCCGACAGAGAAGTACACACTCATATTACAAGTTTGTTTGTCTGTTGGTCGTTTTATTTTTTGCCATGGCATTGTCAGTTTGTTTTCGACTTCTTAGTCTGACTGTCCCTTTGATATCTTTCTCCTCTCTTCTTTCCGATATTTGATATCTGAATCTCGCTGCATCATTTGTATTTGTATTCATTTAGAAAAGAGATCTAATTAGGTGTATACTTTAGCATAAGCGAAAAAATAAAACATGCTATTTTTTCCTGTCATCATTTATACACCTTTAATGGATTTCAAGCAAGTAATTGTAACTTTAAGCTTACCTGCCATAATTATTGGTGTACCTACAAAAAATGCATGCCTATATATTTAATCTACAAACGACATTTTAAAGAAGATGATACTTAAGATTAACCGTCAAGTGTATAGGAAAATAATTTCGTACTTTATTTGGCCTTTTTAACATTTTTTGTATTGGAAAGTCACTGATGAGTCTTTTGTAGACGCGCGTCTGGAGTACACAATTTCAATCCTGGTATCTATGATGAGTTTATCTTTAATATGATAATATTGGCATCAAGTGAAGATTTTTTTTTATACATTTTCGAATTTTCGAATGCGTCTTTCATAAACACAACATGCATCAACACAACACAAATTTCGAAATGTTTACAACTTCTTTCTATTAATGGTTAGCTTTTATTTTATAAAACGCGGTAAAGAAACAGTACTTGCAACACTTGAGGTTTAAAAAAATAGATAGATAAACCAACCATCTTTAGGTGTTGTTATCGACACTTCAGCTGGGTCACTATATTCAACATTGTTTTTGTCCCTCTTTACTGAAGAGATTTTGATCGTATACATAGTATTTTGTTTCAAATTATCAAATACATGACATGGATAAGATACAGTTGTTCCTTCGAATTCTTCTTGGTACATTGATTTGTGGGATATATGATAAAATAAATTGTCAGAGTTATCTGTGGAAGATGGTTTCCAGAAGGCATAGATCTGTGACTGAGATATCAACTCCAGTCCAAATGCCACAGGACAATTAGATTCTGGAAAATAATATGTTACTTAGTTATTATATCGGAGGTAATGAATGAAATAGTTGATTATTTTCTTTCTGTTTTATGGTTTTTGATGTTATTTTGCATTGATTCGATCTGTTCTCTAACCTTTCATGCCTTTAAAGACAGTGTCATGGTACATGTATATGTGCATAAATGTCAAATTCTTTCCCGTATAAATATATATGTATATACTTTATTTACAACTTGAAATAATGTATTTATATAACAATTTCATGACAAAGATCGAAATACGCGTATCTATTTACAAAAATATTAATATACTTTCTTTGTATGAATATTTCATATTTGTAACGCTGGATACCAATAAAATTTTCCAATTCAACAATTATTATCTGGTTATTATTCTGGTAGCATTTACCTTTGTTACTAGTTTTAATTATTCCATTGACTGCTTGGCCATTGTGTTCTGGATAAGCTGTAAACACTTCAAATTTATATTCTGTATTACTTTTCAGTTTATTGAGTTCGCATATGTAGGTTTCTTTTGTATGCTCTGCTTTTACATTCTTCATTTTTGTCTTTTCACCATCATTTAAAGCAACTACGAAGCGACTGACTTGTAACTCTGATAGTTTTGGGGGTTGAAAGGAAAATTCAACACTAGTTGAATCGATGTATCGAACTTTGACATTTCTTGGTTGGTTTGAGTCTGTAAGATAATGATACAGTTTTCATATTATTGAAACATGACAATTTCCATACAACAATGTTTTTGTAGAAATTCATTCAACATTTCAGATAGGACATGTACATGTTTTGTTATTGCCCAAGATATATATGCATATATTTTGATAAATTCTAAACTGATGTTTGTAAATTTTACAAACACTATGGAAATAGACTGTAGATTGTTTTTAACAACTTATTGCGATTTTCAATTTTTATAACTGTTTCAGCTTCGATACCACATATACAGGTCTGCTTCATATCTTGACTCACATCTAGAAATTGAAAAAAAAATGTCGGATGACAACAAAACTTTGCTAACAAAAGAGATGATTTCAGTATCTAATTATGAACTTTCCATTTTTATGAAGCAACATCCTAGCTGTGAGTGCATATGGAGTATATATCTCCAATTATTACGACATTCCATAGCTTGAGTTTCTTATCATTTTTTTCTTGAAATAGGGTTTCTGCTTACAAGGAGGCTATTAAAACAAGGGTACCAAGTGGTAAAGCTGAAGTCAACCATTCGAAAATTTTACAGACGCCATCACGAGTTGATTGACCGTTATGGAATCATCTGTTTCACAGATTATGATGGATAGGTTCCAATTGTCGTGAACAGAATCCCGTACGTCATCTTTTCCTCCATTTTTGTACTTACAGGTACCAAATGTGGAGCATTACCCTTCCAATGCACAAGAGACCAAGGTGCAGTTAGTGTTTGTGTTTTTCTCAGTCTTTTGTTTTCTATGTTGTGTTTTGTAGACTGTTGCTTGTCTTTTCGTTCTTTTTTTCTTTTTTGCCATGGCGTTGCCAGTTTGTCTTCGACTTATGAGTTTGAATATTTCTTTGGTATCTTCTGCGTCTCTTTTTCAGAAAAATTCAATTTCAGTGTGCAACACACATATTTTCTGAATAACCTTCATCAGTGAAGTGTGACGTTACGAAATCCAAATACATCAAAGAGTTGTAAGCAAAAAATTCAAAAATGTCGAAACAGAACAGTCAAATCCTTCTTCATTCAGCTTTGCGTAGAGCTAATTGAGAAACGGGCATTGCACGCATGAAAAACGTGTCACGTTTTACTTTAATTTGCAATTTCTAATAATTGTATGTACTGGAATATATACCATCTAGTTCCTGTATTGTTTCTTCCTTGATTTTGGCAGTATCTATCAACACAATTCTTTGTTTCCCCTGAGCATCAGTGGAGTCAGTGTTAATATCATATTTTAAACAATCTATAAATCTGCTTATTAGTACACCTCCATCAATCCCAAATATGTAGCCATGGTATTTGTAACTGGCTAGTACCAGAATAAAGCAGTCTATTCCAATTTGGTCCAACCATTGTCTGTGACTTTGGATCGACTCGATCATTTTTACCCCTGTTAAATTTTCCTCTAACTTGACTTCAAAATGTAAATTTTCAAAGGTTGATTTCAATGACTCTGTAAGAGATTTATATAGGAGGAAGTATACTCTAATTGAAATAAAGAATCTCCTTATTTGCATATTGGAATGGTTAATTCGATTTTCTCGTTTCGTTTGATCTCAGATGTATTTCTTTTAAAACGCCGTTTCTGTAAAAACCATAAAGTTTAATGAATGGTGTATGTGTTGTAAGGAATAAAAACCTTTTAAAGCGTAATGTAAAAGACGCAAATCGTTGCATCTTTGATTTCTCAACAGATTACAAAATCTGAATGTCATGTTGTATTTTTATCAACATTATGATTTTCGATTCTCCTAATCGGAATTCAATCAATCTAAAAAAAAAAAACATCAGACTTCGATTGCATTGAAACTTTGTTAATCTTTTTCAATATGAAATCATTCTAAAATAAATTTTGTATGTAGTGATATAGGAAAAATAGTTTTTAATAACTGTGAACATCTAAAATGCTATGTTGTTTAAATAATATATGTATAATTGGAAGTAGACTTCAGTGTTCTGAATATTGTTATAAAAAATTACTAGATACCGAAGCTAATTTGATAATATGCGCTTTTTTCTCATCAGCGGTGGTCTAAGTTGCTGGATTGTTTAATGCCTTAAACGCATAAATTGGACTGGTTATACGTTAGTGTGTTTTATTTGTTTTTGAAATTATTTTTTTTTAATTACTTTTCCTGTTAACACTTGTTACATTTTACTGACCTGCTTAGATAAGGAAAAATATTGTTAAAGTATCATGGTTATTTCTCAAACTAGGATTGTTGTACTTTTTACACACTCATCACCTTATTTAGGAAGTTTTGCGTACATCAAACAAACTCTCTGTCTAACTATCCATCTGTTAATGGATCTTCTATGCATAACTCGTCGGGTGAATTAAAGAATAAGATAAATATGAAGATGTGCATCAACAAAATATTTTTTGAGCAAATATTTCGAAATATAGAAACATTTAACATATCACATGGGGCAGGTTATCAATCTGTGAGATCGTAAAATATCTCAAGTTCAAATTTGCTCGCGGAGTATCCTATATGGTATTGGTATCAACTCATTATTGAAAGTAATGAAAGCAATTCATGTGCTGTGCATATTTCGAATGCCTATTATTATTTTTCATTGCTGTATATTTTCCATCCTGTGTAACTATGCAATTGTATATTATATAAGAGTAAGGACTTACCAACATGTGCTAGTGTTCCTTCTATATTAGACAACGCTTTAAGCTGGAAATCTTGGTAATTTGCCAAGATAAGAACAAATCCCGACACTAAAATAAACAGTTTATGTTTATAATGACAATCCAACAAATGAAATATGTATATAAAAACAGTGAGAAATTATATCATCAAAAGAGTACATTATGTAAAAGTTGTGATATTGAATTTGTGCATTGAGATAAAGTAAGAAAAAACAAACAAACAAATATGAAGAAGTGTATAAAATGTTTGATTAATTAAGCACTACTTGAACAAATGGCATTTCATATTGCATTCAGTACATAGTAACCTGATTTGAACGTAGTCACTTCAACAGTATCTGTTTTAATTTCTGATTTGTCTGAACCTTCAGCTTCCATCCTAATGTGATATGTGGTATTTCCTTCGAGTTCCGATATGATACAGGAAGCAACAGTTCCGTCTAGCGGTATTGACACATACACATTATCGTCTCCCGTAACAGGTTTGTGGAACACTGTGTAAGATTGGACTTCGCCAAACTGTAAACTATCCCATCGTACCTCTATTTCAGTTGGAGATAAAGCATAAACTGCCACTGCATCTCTTGCTATGACTGCAAAGCATTGAATTTTCACAAATGAGTAAATTAGTTAAATTAAAATAAAAAAGAATCATAACACAATGCATCATTCGCATTAAAATACAGATCTTTTTCAACATTTCCCTTACGAAAGTCGAAAACCGCCCTCCATACGTTCAGTTTGATATTTTTTATGCCAACCAATAAAATTTCGGCCAACAAATGTGTAAGTGTACGTATCAGTACAACAAATTCTTAAGATACCGAAAGGTCTTCATAAAAATGTAATACAATGTTGTTAAACCCTAGAGAATATATGTTTTTCGTATCATTTTATATTATTTTTAGTGTCTATGATTGTGCTTTGATGGACATGCATAGTGCATCATCTCCTCTGAATTTGTTCCTCGTCTTCATTATATCAAATAAATACAAAACTTGTAAAAATAAATTGGCGCCAGGGGTCTGGTTAGCGGGTGGTCGACGAAGTTTATCTGCGGTGATCTCTAGCCTGTCAACACTAAGGTACGAACCCCGATCGTGACAAAGTGCTTTCGATGCCGATTTTATTTAGCTATAATAGTCAATTTACCTCCCGAACTAGTGTCGATGGTTCTCTCCGATAACTCTTGCTTCCTTGAACAATACAAACCGGCCGTCATGATATAACAAAGTGTGGTAAAAGTAGTCTTAAACTTCAACAATCAATCAATCAATCAAATTGGCACTATAAATATATCACTAAATTTCAAACGTAGGTATTTTTTAGAATGATCTTACTTCTAGTTTCTCTGTAATCTGTGTCACTTTGAAGTCGTTGTATGTCATTCTGAAGAGCATCTATCTCTTCTAACAATTTTTTATTTGAGAAATCGTCTCTTTGTATCTTTAACTCCTCTAATCTTTCAGATAATTCATCGATGGTCAAATCGTCTATTAGTTCTTGGTCTGTTAAATCTGTCTCGCTTCTAGGTTCATCGCCTAGACTTTTGGTGCCGTGACCGGGAGAAATTTAAAAAAAGACCGTGTTTCATTTTTATAATTTCAGGAGATATTTTTGTTCAATTTTCAAAGCTTCTTATCACAAAGGTAATTGTGCTATATACGAAAATTAAATTGCCAATGTTTCGGCTTTAATAGTTCTTTGTTTTTAAACATACCGTTACACATTGTGTCTTATCAAAATCATAGCAGTATCAAGAATGATACTGTTTATTAAAGTATTTTTATATATAAAGCATATTTATGATTATTTTTTGTTTTTACATTTAATTCACGATATTAAACTGCTTACTTAATACTCTCTTCTTTTGTTTTTCATGGATCTTTATCTCATTTTGAAGTTTATTTATTTCTTTAAGTAATTGCTGCTGTGCCAACAGTTCTTTGTCTTGTTCCAACTTTTGTAGTGTTTTTAGTAACTCATCATCTGTAAAATTTTCAAGATCACTAATGTCAATCGTGTCTGACGTCTCCTCTTTGGTAATAGTATTTATTATCGGTGTTGACATTATGTTTCATCAGAGAAAATCTGAAAAAAATGTTAACAAACATTATCTGCTTAATACAAGTCAATCAATCGTAAAATTTATCTTATTGCGGGTCGTGCCTATTTTATCAAAACCTTTTTCTAACTAAGATTGAAGCGTATAGAATGTTGTATTATTTACGTTAACAATAATAACATTCGCTGATGTTTCAAATGTCCAATATTAAAACCTTTTCAGTTCTTTGCATTAAACGTTATGAATTTTTACTTATGTTCTAACATTATAGATTTTAATTACCTCTTTTTGTTAATATACACTTCCGTTCGACATGTTGTTTGAACAATTAAAGTATTGAGTCGCTGAATTAAATGTTCCAACTGAGTGCATGTAACTTTATACTCAGCTTATTATAACTATCTAATACTGAATTTATGATACCTTTGGAAAGAAAAATGTATAAGGGTAGACTGGGAAAGAAAAAAAAATTGTAATTTTTTTGTAGTTCCCCAATTTTCTACATTCTATTTTTTATCTTCTTTTCGAGTTGATTTTGTTTTCCATTTTGTTAATACATGTATATTTTAGCTTAGATTAAAATTGTCCAAAAATCGGCGACAGATGTTGAAAGTTCAACAATGAACTTGAATTGTTCAATTAAACCACATTTTTTTTTATTTCATTTTTTTATTTTTTACCGGTGCTGAAATGATAAAGTTTCCTTTTTTCCTTTTTTATAATTTATCATTTGAGTTTCTGTTTTGTATTCAAAATGTTATATAATGGTATTGTACTGGATTGCCATTTCAGGCAATGCAATCAGACATATATACCATTCAAATTACCTGATTTATCATAGGGGGATGCACGTTTGCGTTAATTGGTGTAACATTTGGGCTACACATATGTTACGTTTGGGCCAAAGATAAGTTGGCATTTGAACTATAAGTTTTAGAGTTGGCATTTGGGCCTATCCTCCCATGTACCGGTAAATTGTATGTAAAATACTGTTATGACAATTATTCATTAACATTCTATGTATAACATGTTCTTGCTTTATATACCCCTTCCAATAGCCCGGCAAACCGCTCACCAAGAGGAGAAAGTTATAGCACTAAATATTGTTTAAAACTAGGCACAACGTGAAGGTGTAAAACAGCTATAGGTCTAAGGACAAGATATAAAAAGAACATCCAATAGATTCTTTTCAAAGATTGGTTCAGGCTCGGGCATGATATATCGTCAGTATACTATTTCCAGATTCAGGTCCTGTATTTAAAGATAACAGCCTTTAAAAAATATAGTCGTGTCATACTGCCTGATCTCAACTTAAACTCATTTCCTTTAAGTGGTGTAAAACTTCAAATTGTTTTTTTCAAACAAGCGTGGTTTCCCAAATGACCGAATTTTTATGTAGGTTGTATTTAAAAAATATGTTTTAATACATATTTTATATATTTCATATCAAATATTGATATAGATAAATTTTACCTGTAATTTACCTGCACAGACAGGCACATAATAAGCCCAAATGTAAACTTGAATCCAACATTTTTAGCTCAAATGGTACCATGGCCATACTAATGATTTATCCCAAATGATTTGCGCCCATATCATATTGATTTTTCGGACGATGATTGCATATTCAAATGGACAAAATTCATAGCTTCATTGATCCGAGTTATATCCACTTCTGTTTCTTCTTGAAAACCTATATTGTCTGTCTTCGTGTGGTTTCAACAGAAGAAATAATCGAATGAAACTTTCTAACAATATCTGCTATAAATGTTAAATCTATAATCAATTTACAAATCAAAGCGAAATGAGAGTACGATTCTAGTTTGGGTACGGATTAGAGTTTATTTTCTAAAATGTGATTATTATGCAGTTATGCCGGTCCATTATGTCATAAAATAAGCACCTTTTTCTTGATTTGTCACTCCACTATACATCGTGACAGATAGAATAGCGTCACAAAGTCAAAGCTAACCGAGAATAGTTTAATTTAACAATTTTGAGGAAAACGTTAAAGATGTATCTTCAACAAATAATCTGTATGAACTATAATTTTATAATGTGTGTACAATAAAATAGCAAGGCAACTTTACTATTCAGAACTAGTCAGCACTATCATTGATATGGTCATAATTATAATTATAATAACTGTTTACAAAACTTTGATTTTTTTGAAATACGAAGGATTTTCTACCCCAGGAATAGATTACCATAGCTGCACTTGACAAAACCGTTTGGAATTTTGGGTCCTCAATGCTCTCCAACCTCGTACTTCGTTTGGCCCTTTTAAAAAAAAATTCCAATAAGAGCGTCAGTAATGAGTTTGGACAGACGGCGTCTGCCGTGCCAAAATTTTAATCCTGGTATCTATGATGAGTTTTTTTAGTGCGTCAAATATTTATCGTATCAACCACTTAATATATTTCCGAGTAAATTTATTTGCAATCGGGATTTTCGACGTACCATCTGATTAAATTAGGAAACTTCTGTTTGATAAGATTGTCCAGCAGTGTCTTGTAGAGTCGAAAAAACATCACTGTCAACGGAATTGAAAGATAGTTAAAGAAATTTGCTCGACTCTAAATTTTTGACGATGAAAATCTTGTTCTCATTTATAGTTAGCCCATAATTTCTCTTTGCTGAAACCACAGTTATTCTTGAAATATAACCTTGCACCAAAGGACATGGATGTAAACAACTACCGGTCACATCACGGCCTTCGATTGAGAGCAATAGCATATGGTTACCTATAAAACAGAAAACTAACGGCCTCATGTATGCCAATAACACTAAAAGAAAAACAATTCATTATGACAGACACTGCGGCAATCAACCAAAACCACTGGATTACAGATAAACACTTAAAGCATTTGTTGGGGTTAAACATTAGAACAAACTGTAAAGATCAGTTGAAAAGGGTCCAACTCATCAGATTGGTACAAATTTCAACTAACATATATATCAACAAAAGACACAAAGCTAGTTCAAGCAAAATTTCAACTAATAAAAAGGTTAAATTTTCCAAGACAATATAACATATATATAAATATCAATCAGCACACCTCCAACGGATTTAGTATAAAAACGTCATAAGCCGTCATGGAAAAGCATGATTTTGTGCAAAGACAAATTTATATATTTATATGAGTATCAACAGGATGTTAATAACTACTAGCGTTTAGCTATATGTCTTAAAATATTAAAAAAAAACCAATGTTAGTACCGAAAAAAATCAATTAAATCTTTAAGAGAAAGTACATTCAAAGGTCCAATGCGTTTATATGGATTTTTATTATACAACATCGCCGTAAAAGCGAGGATAAAATATCCCGTTTGTAATAAAATTTCTACAGGCTATATATTTGTTCCAGTTAAATCCAATACAACTTCAGACATAACCAAAGCGAACTAGTTGGAAAATGCGCACACGGTAAATATGGGCCGAACGTGCACCGAGGGATCACCACCATCCAAAAAGGAAAACAATGATAAGGAACGACAAAAATGTTGTGAACTTTAGTTTAGAGTTTCCCTTGTGAAACGGAAATATTCAAATTAAGAAAACAACAATTATTGCTGTTGATATGAGAATTATATTTTAGTCAGTTTCATGGGGTAAATTTCTGCAATATATCTGTTGATCAGGATGGGGTTTACAAACTAGAGAATAATGGGCCAATGCTGTAGAAAAATGAGCAAAAAATTCAAGAATAGAGAAAATTGGCAAAAAATATAAAAACACAGAGAACTTAAAGGGCTACTGAAATAAAAAGGATAGAGAATAATGGGGAAATAATTATAAAGAAGAGAGAAAAACAGACTAAACAATTAGAGAATAAAGAAATGAAGACATCACCATCTCATATATATAGTTCTTGCTTATTTAAACTAAAAACATCATCACGGTAAAGGTAAAGCGTAATTAAATCTTTCTATTAAATGCATTTTAATTTTATATTTATTGCGTTTGGGCATAAACTATGATTCATAAAAATACAGGAACAAGTCTGCTATTAAAGTGGCACAACTGATGTCCATAGGAATACCTGCGACCTCAGTGTCGATAACCCTTATGACCGAAACGTACATAGATGATCATTTACTTCTTTAGTCATCTCATCACATTTCAAGTAGGTTTATCCTGCATACAATTTTTTTGCATTTCATATTCAAAAAGGCTTTGTATGGGTTGCAACCAATATATTTGCAATCGGGATTTCGTAGCATCATTTAATTGAATCAAAAAAAATCTGTTTGATAAGATTGTGCAGCAGTAAATTGTAGAGCCATACTGAGTCATCACTGTCAACGGAATTGAAAGATCCATTAAAATGCTCTTCATTTATCAACCAAAGAGTTGTTTAACTCAGAAATGTTTGATTTATTTATTTACAAAATTTCATAATATTATATAAGTTCTTCATTAGTTATTAGAAAAGTAATCAAAAGGATAGAAAGATTGGTGGAATAAAATTGCTGGACGGTTAGATTAATCGAAATTTGAGTTTTTTGTTGCAAAATACAGTCTTACTTGAAGCCGAGATGAAACACAATTTGATGGTTTTTGTTGTGCTTGTGCAGTTTATGTAGCTAATACATAGAAAGTGGTATTCATCGGCAAATACTCGGAGGAGGCCGTATGAAGGCGAAATCATGTAATTATGATTTCCTACTTTTTTCAGCTGGTACGAACAAAAACGTTTTCTTAGTAGAACCTACTTGAAGTTTATTTTCAATCCTAGAAATGGCATCTGTATTAATTTCCCTTTACTTCATATTCACAATTATTACACATTTATTGAAATAAGAATAGAGGGACAGTATACATTTGACCTGACTTTTATTGCAATGTCGTATGGATAAGAGCAAGAACACATTAAATTAGTGTAAATGAGTTGGCGGACTGAAAATTCAGTAAAAAAACAATACGATAAAATATTTTAAAACCGACACAAAATATAAAACTTGAAAAACGGAGGTTCAATGTCATATCCTGTGGTATAAAATAAAGATACCGTAGGAGTTAAGTGGCAAATTTAGAGTAAAGGGAAAACACAAATAAACTACATGATGGATCCATAATTATAAGAATAAGAACCCGGGATGATAAAACCGTAAGGAAAATATATTATTAAGAAATTTTAATAAATATTATTTCACGTTGTCCCATCAGAACGCATACACAACTGACCCTTTTCCTTTTTAAATGTTTTGTATCGACTTGCCTAGATACAACACTGTGTTTAGTATTAGTTTTTCAACCAAATTGAACAGATGAATCACATCGTACGATATAAATGACGCAATTCGTCCAAATTTGGCGGGAATTATTAACTCCCTTGCGTAAACATTTTATTTTAGGAAAGATAACTCATAATCGACGGAAGTCAACTTCAGGCGGTGCTGAATGAAAACATTGTGGAAGCAGAACCAAACTAGTATTTCCAGTTCCTTGCCACTGTGTATCGATTTGTAACATGTTACCAAAGGGTTAAATAACTGCTGTACGTGTTGCAATAAGAACATTTATCAAAAATTTCAAAACACACCTACAAAAAGTACAAAGCGTAAAAATATATATGTTGGCTTTATCATTAAAATATCACGAAATGTATAACGTGCTACTATAGTTAATGTCTTTGTTTTTTATTCCACTGAGAATCTGCACGCGAAACGAGTATCTGATTAAAAAAAATTGAATCAAATATTGATAAAAGACAAATTTATCTTGCTGTTGGATTCAATTCAGACAATTGCCTTGATTACATGTTCACCAGGTTTTGTTCGCCCAATTTTGTCTGCCCTACAGTTGTGTCTGGTAATTCCGCCCTTCCGGTAGACCCGCCCACTTCCATTTACTTCCGTGAATATTTTGTCTGCTATTTTATTCATAGGAACTGTACTTATTCTCACTGCATGTCAACTTTTAAAGAAAAATCCTTTATTACAAAAATATCAAGTGATAGATATATACAGTTCCTGAAGCTAACCTTACAAAACTCATTTCTGACTTGAAAGTTTTTTTTCGGTTGTCTGGAATCCCTTTAAAAGTGGTCTATTAATAAAACACCATTTTCCTTTCATAAATATGTGATAAACTCATACCTGCCAACCCTCCTGTTTTGAGCAGGAGTTTCCCGCGCAAATGACGAAATTTCCGGAAATCTCCCGCTTGTTGGTCCGCTCCCACTCCGGGAGAATAGAATCTCCTGCTTTAAGATATGTTTACCTGGAATGACCCACGTTCCTAATTCTCTGGCTTTTTCATTACTGCCATCATGGTCATTAGAAATAAATAAACAATCGGTGATCATTTGAAAACTTTGGTCAGTAGTTTTTATGTTCGATTTATAAGTCATATTGCTATGTCAACTCAGACAAGATAGATGTCTTTGTCAGGACCAAGCAGCAGTGTTAAAAAGAAGAAATAAATAAATGCAAATCGAAATATCAAGCAGATTGAATGAAAGATTTTTAATTTTTATGACCAAGTTCACTTGGCAATGAATCTTCATTTTGCACATCATGTTCAATCAACTTTTCGGTTTCTTCTGGTGGTCTGTAGAACGTTTGAAAGCATGCTTAGTGTGAAACTCACAACAAAATCAAAATGTGGAATTTTATGAATTATGAGACTCAGAGGTATTGAAAAAGGCAACAAAATAAATACCTTGTAATAATAGTTGTCTAGATTATAACCATGAATTGAAGAAATAAAGCATATCAGTCCTCAATTTAGACTAATAAAACAGTCGCCTGGGCGACCTATAAAGCCCACAGGCGATCTAAAATTTACTGTTGGTGGCCATTTGGCAAACTTTACTTTTTCAACCTGGTTACCTTATAAAAATCTCTTCAGGATTTTTTTTCAGGCCCTATCCCGTAAGTGGATTTCAAAATATGATTCTACTGCCTGATCAGCAATGCGCTTGCAAGTTGGGAGATTTTTTAGTCCCCTACTGACGAAGTTGAAGGGGACTTAGGTTTGCACTCTGTCCATCCGTCAGTCTGGCAAATCAGCTTTCCACTCTTTTTTTCTTTGTTCTTGAAGATATTGATTTGATATTTGGTATATAGTTTTGCCATGACAAGTTATAGATCAAGTTCGAATTTTGTTCGGGTCTGATGATTAGTAGACCATATCTAATGTTAGAGTACTATGTTAAACCATTTTGCTGTACAAAGGGAGATAACTCATTTTTTAAAAGGCATTCTTTGGTAAATTATTTGAAGAATTTTTTGGCAGGTTTGTTTGTTATTTTGTATAAACTAATTTTCTGAATGCTATATATATATATATACATTTGTATATATAAAAGTCTAAATTGAAAACAACGTTCAAACCTATGATTGCGTTGGATAAAAACCGCAATTTTTATACGCGTGCATGTAAAACAAATTTCTTGGTAGAGGGGTCTAAATACAGCACAAACAACAATGTGCTGTATTTAATACAGTGTGGAAAACTGATTAAATGAGTAAATTTTTCAAGTTCAAGGACGAAATCCGGATATGGTGTACAAGTTTTTGCACCTCATGTTTGTGGTATACCATCTTTTCCACAAGTTTATTGTTTTCTGTTTGGTATTTAATTAATATTAAGATCCATTTTGTTAGATCTGGTGATCAATTTATTTGGCAATCGCCAATGGCAGTCAGCAGGGTTTAAGAACATCAGTTGTTCGACCTGTTAGTCAAATGCGTTTTGTTTAAATAGACTTTTTTACATTTGTATATATATATATATATATATATATAAAATTATGAATTGAAATCCTTTAATTAGATAATAATCTATTTTTATTAATGTATATATTACATTACATTGTGTAGATAAAAATTGTTGACATTTTATAGATAAGTTACAAATCTATATTAGTTTGTGACAAATAAAAGAAAAAATATTTGGAACTATTAATTATATTTGATTATAATTTGAAAATAGATATGCATGTACACTGTATTACATCATATCTAATTTTAGAGAACTATTAATCATATCTAATGTTAAAGTGTTTTCAACACTTTTTTTCATCATGCTTGAAGATATTGATTGATAATTGGTATATAGTTTTATCATGACAAGTTATACAGATCAAGTTCGAAATTTTGTTTCGGTCTGATAATTTTGTGCAGAGTTATGGTCCTTGAACTTGAAAAATTTACTCATTTAATCAGTTTTCCACACTGGTTTTAGTCATGCTTGAAGATATTGAATTGATATTTTCTTTTTGTTTGCACCATGACAAGTTATAGAACAAGTTAGCTTTTGTTCCAGTATAATGAATTTTTACCCGGTAGGGGACTATGTATTGCCATGCAATACTCTCAGAATGCTTGTTATAAGTGTCAAGCATTTCGTCGACCATGAGTAAAGACTGCCATTGATATGACAACAAAACCTGCTAAACAAAATAAATGTTGAAATGTGAAGACACTTGAAATAATATGGTCAAAATTTTTGAGGCGAAACAGAGACAAATATGTTGGCTATCGTTGTCTATACCGCTGTAGAAGAGACAAAAAGGATTAATTATGAAAACACCTCAAACATGAGAAAGGGGTCTAGGTTAAGTTTTCCCGAATGCCGTTCTGTGGTGTTGATAAGGGATTCTGGTGCACTAAAAACACAATGCAAGCTGGACAAAAAGAAAAGTTACAAAATCACTAGTCTACCTACCTACCCTTTTATTTTAGGGGATGCAACAGGAAACACACTTACTTTTTTTTTTTTACCTCAGTACGCAATAGCCATCAGAAATAAGCTGTTCAATCTTTTTATTAACAACCAAACCACCATACATGATCATGTAAGTCATGTAAGATACTTACTTCAGTTCTATAGAAAAATATTAATAGTAATATGCTCTCTTAGAGACTTATGACTAGTCTTCATGTTATGCTCTTTCATAGCAAATTTCTAAGGCGACCAGAAATGACTCCCTGGCAATTAAAATTTTGAATTGGCGACTGAAATTTTATACCTGGTGGCCAAATGGTAACCTGATGTTTTAAGCTACTTTGAGGGCTGGATTATCATTTATAGTTACACAATTATATTTGATCTACTTATCAGAAAGTACCAACTAAATATTGAGATCTGTCATAACTTCTTAAGAAAAGGTTTTTTTTTATTAAAATGGAAAAGCAATTATCTTTTATCAATAAAAATTCAAAGAGGAAAATTGTTCTGTGAATGAAATTAAAAAATTTAAGCAACTTAAAACAATAAATTGGAACAATGTATTTACATGGTTATATATAGATTCCACCACTGCATCAGTTGTGTTACGATATTTCTCCACTCGAGACAGTTAAATTCTACCATTCATTTTATGAGAAAAAAAGTTTTCCCTAGAGACGAGAAATATTTTGCTCACACTGATTGTGAAATGTGAAAAAAGCATAAAAACTAGAGAAATATACATTTAACTAAGGGAATATGACCAAATTCTGTTTAATGCATGTGGAATGCATAGTTTATTCTTTGCGGTCATAATTATTCTGTCAAGTGAGACGTTAGTGCATGTGCTTATGTAGTGATTATAACAAGAATACAGATTTTGGTCATAGTTGGTTTGCATCTGTTCCATAGTATGTATAATTATTTCAATGGCTGATGAAGAAATATTTACGAAAATAAACAATGTTTGACAAGCGATTTGGAAAGGAACATTATTTTGCGAGCAATACAGTACACACAGAGAGTATGTAATCTCATACTCCCTACACTGTGTAAAAACTTGGTGTCACACCAAGAAACTCCAGCAACTCTCTCCAAATCTTGGGAGGAAATTGGGAGAAATTCCTCCCTAAAACTCCTTAATTGTTTATTACCTTGGTGTGGTTTCTCCCAACAACATGATTTTTATTGCTATGATTACCTTTGAAGTGTGCCAGTAGTTGATGACTACAATAAACATTTCTTGTGTTTCCTGTCATTAAATGACAGTCACAAAAATGATGAAAAGTGTGAGATTTGTTAAATTTAATCAGAGACATATTATAATCTGATTTTATTAAAGAATCCTGTACAACTTTATTTATTAAAATTATATTCAGCATTTGTTCTGACCGTGTTGGTTTTTCATACCTAAGAAACATACAAAAACAAACAAAACATCACCTGTAAGTGGAGTATTATTAATAGAAAATAAAGACATATATTTTAATTGAATTTATTCAATCGTTTTTTCTAAATTTAAATGATAAGAAATAAAGGAAGATTATATAAATATAATATATATATGTAATTTATCTACATTATTTTATTTTATTCATTTTTTTTTGTTGAATCATTACTATTATTTTTTAAACCATGTATATACTAATATCTATATGTTTAAACTGACTATAAATACAACTTATTGTAAATATCAAGTTGCCATTCTTGATTATGAGATTATGAAAGAATGTAAATAATTTTCCAATCTAAAAATACATATTTGTATAAAAATTTTAAAAATCATTTCGTTAACCTTTTTTTAGTGCTTTCAGAAATAAAACTAAATAGGAAATGATTGAAATAGGAAGAAGTGAGAGAATAGTTGACCTGTAATTATGTCACTGTCAGACCATGCAGTCGTGCTTTGTTGATTTTTATTACTCTTACCTGCAATCAACAGGTCATAAAACCCTCCCAGATGGGAGTAATTACTTGGTGTTTTTTGGGAGAGAAATCTGTGTTTCACAGTATGACACTGTGTTACACCAGAATCAGTGTTGGGAGTATGAGATTACATCCTCTCTGTGTGTACTGTAGATGGATGAAACATGATCTAAAGCACCCTTTTTAGTCTCCTACCGAAGAAGTCGAAAGGGACTTTAGGTTTGCACTCCGTCCGTCTGTCTGTCTGTCCATCCGTCAGTCAGGCAAATCAGTTTTCCACACTTTTTTTCTTCATGCTTGAAGATATTGATTTGATATTTGGTGTATTTTTTTATCATGACAAGTTACAGATCAAGGTTGAATTTTGTTCCGGTCTGATGATTTTGTGCAGAGTTATGGTCTTTTGACTTAGAAAACTCACTCAAGTAATCAGTTATCCGCACTTTTTTTCGTCATGCTTGAAGATATTGATTTGAAAATTGTATATAGTTTTTTCATGACAAGTTACAAATCAAGTTCAAATTTTGTTCCGGTCTGATGATTTTGTGCAGAGTTATGGTCCATAGACTTAGAAAATTCACTTAAATAATCAGTTTTCAAAACTTTTTTTTCGTCATGCTTGAAGATATTGATTTGAAAATTGGTATATATTTTAACCAAGACAAGTTACAGATCAACTTCAAATTTTGTTCTGGTCTGATGATTTTGTGCAGAGTTATGGTCCTTGGACTTAGAAAATTCACTTAAATAATCAGTTTTCAACACTTTTTTTCTTCATGCTTGAAGATATTGACTTGATATTTGTTATATAGTTTACACCATGACAAGTTATAGATCAAGTTAGAATGTTGTTCCAATACAATGAATTTTTAACTGGTAGGGGTCTAGGGGACTATGTATTGCCATGCAAAACTCACAGAATGCTTGTTATTTTGAAAATTTTTTGCTTCATTGTTCAAGATTTACATGTCTTGAACCGTTTGAATTTAGACAATTTTGCACATATTGCGCACTTACTCCAGTATACCTGTTAGAATTTGTGAAAGAAACATTTGTTTGATAGAAAAAAAAAATCCAATATTTCATTCAAGAGTTATGGGACTTTGCAATTGACCATCTGATAAATAAAAGGTATTTTATGAATGCAATGAACTAGCTGTAGCATGCTTGGATAACATTACTACACAGTTTTTGGGACATGGTGAATTTAAAGTCACTGTAAAGTGTTGATTTTGAAAATTTTCTGGTTTGTCATTCCAGAGTTGTAGGACTTTTAACAGTTATATTTAGGCCGTATTCTCATTAGTAAGTGAGTAATAATTCTCTCTTTACAGTGTTAAGTTGTACTTACATGTGCATGTGTACAAAATATATTCTTTATCTCAAAACAAATTATAAAAATATGCATATGTTTTATATATTTATATATTTTGTAGGAGTGTAACATATACCGGACACACAACATAATGATCAGTTAAGTGAAGATGAAAGTTTTACAGGATCGAGTTGCACAGATTTATTATACACATGGATTATTCTGTGCCTCACATCCTGTGGCGATCCTCACAGCCCTTGTATGTCTCATGTTGGTTACATTGTAAGTATTCTGGTCCATCTCTATGACTGTGGTTGGAAAATTTAGACAATACTCTGTACATTTATTTTGTTCCTGTCTTTATTATAATAGTTCTTTGTTAAAAACTTTTCCCTTCTGCAACACAATAAAAGATGTACTCTCAGTATTGTTTGTCAATTTACTAAAGTTGTTGAATTAATCAACAACTGTGGAATTCTTGTTTCCCGAACTGTTATACAATATCGCTATGTTAATAATGCATACAAGTAGCTCTGAAAGTCTCATTGAACAAGTGTATATATGTTCAAATGAATTTGTAAAAATCACTATCAGTTTTAGTAAGTTTGTTAAATCCATGAAATTGTTCGGAAAAATTAATAAAATCAATCAAAATATTGCTAGGGATTTTGTTACATTGTACATCTCAAACTAGCTGTTTTGACCATAAAAAATGTATATTTTTGTAATATAGAAAAACATATTTTAACCATTTTCTTTTAACAGAAATGTCTAGTTAAACAAATACAATAAATGATTACAAATAAAAAGGCATGTTTACAGTTACAGTAACAGAGATTACAAATTACTGTTCTTATTTTTTCAAGACGTAGTTTTGATGATGTTTACTGTTTCATTATTACCTTATCTTAGTTTTGCACAGTTTATGTTTCAAGAACAACCACATTTAATAAATCTTGTTCATCACAAATGGCAAACAGATATGAATCAAATAAATCAATCTACTTTCAGTGTTGATTACTGTATCTTTTAAGTTGGGTATTTATTCATGACACAAAATCCTACTTGCCCTACACACATTTTTATTGCCATTCATCATTTCAAAGTGACAGCAAGTTTAAGACAGCCCCAAGCCCCTGTTTGAGCGATATTGTTTGTTAGATGTTGATTTAGCTACATATGGACATTCAATAACACAGCTGCAGGGTATTATCACTGCAAAGTACAGAAACAAAACAAACATTAAGACAAACAAGAGACACATTAAAAAAAATCTCAGATCAAGTGTCTCAGATTCCCAAACATAAATAAGGGTTTTCACCCATATTATCAGTTTCATTTCTTGGCCAATCTGATGTATTCACATATTTTGATCTATAAATAGGTTTGTAATGGGTGTAATTAGTTGTTTATTTGTGTATTTCAACTTTCACTTATAAATAGGATTTTAATGGGTGTAATATATTCATAATTTAGTTGTTTATTATTGTATTGCAGCTTTCCTTTGATATATGTTCCATTACCTGGGACAGTGCCTAAATATTATACCACACCTGTTTCTCCTGACACACAACCTCATCACACAACAAAGGGAAGTAATGGAGAGGAAGAAGGGAAAATGCAGCCTCACTGGGTAAATTATTTACTACTGCAATTTTAATTTGTATATACTTGTCTTCCATGAATCCCAAATTGTATAAGAACAATCACCATGAGGCACTGATTGATTAATAAGAAAGCAAAAATGTAATTTTTTTTATAGATTTTGACCAGGAACTCAAAACATAAAGTGGCCAATTGGATGCTGTTGTTGCTTTTAACCTGTCTGATGATAATTTATTTGAAAAATGATTTATTTTCCGTCTTTACAGATGACTACATTTTTATGTGGCTGAGGACATTTTAGCGAAAAAATCAGACATTTTAGGCCAAAAGTGTAACCCCTTTTAGTGCTAAATTGTTAACCCATTTTAGAGAAAAGTGAAATTATCAATGCTCATTTTAGCGACAAATATTAATTCATAGTAGAATGATCAATTTAAAAAGTATCAAGACAGCACAACATAAAAAATACCATATCCATAAAATACAGCACTAAATGTATAAAAAGATAATTGAAGTCTGTTCTAGCCTGAAATTTATATCCCAGAAAACATATGGAATGGACTCTTGATATATCCCTTGTACTAGATTGAGGTGCAGATTCATCAATGCTCCTTGTTACAGTATAATTATGTTGTTGTTTTTAATTTGATGATAGTACCCACAAAAACCATCACATATTGCACTTTTATTTCCTGTTTGTTTCAACAACGTATTTCCATGTTTAACCAAATTGTAAATGCAAGCAACTTAAGCATTAAGCCATCATAAATTACTGTTCTCTGTTTTCATATGGTAAGTATTATCAGAGACATATAAACATGTATATATATGTATGTGGTGTTATTGAACAAGGTAAGTTTTCAGTAAAATAGGCTATCAAAAATAAAGGTGAACAGATTAAACTGGCGCTAAAATGGGATATTATGTATAAATGTTCCCTAGTAGTTTTAAATTTTTTGGATAAAATGTACTGCACCCGTTTTTATGACATAAATCATGTATGCAGAATTTGGTTAAACAATAATAACTTAATCAAATGGAATTCAATACTAATAGCAACGACTAGTCCACTTCTTTGACATGTATTATGGATAAATACTGTATGGAGAATATGGAAGATTTTTGAAAACCTCTTCTAGGAAAAATGACCACACAATCATTAGTCCAACTTTTTGCAATTATCAATTAAACATATATATTTATATGCACTGTGTTTTTGGGTAAAGATTGCATGAAATGCAATCAAAACCCTATGGTACTGACTTGATTTCTAAATCTTCCAAGGTTTATCACTACTTTTGAAATACACAAAATATAGTGCATTGATCATAACATTCTAAACATCCTATCAATGAACATTTCCAGAAATTTATCAATGAAATCGATGCTCAGATATTCAAGTTATAAAATGATGTTATACTTGTCAAGAAAATTACACATAACTTGTGCAAGGTGCAATAATCTAATATCTATTCTAAAAATATCAATGATGTCATTGTTAAAGTAATCTGTAAAATTGGAGTTATCTTCCTTTGTCCATATATAATTGTAGTTGAATCAACTACAACCAATGTTTTTTTACAATGCAGTTACTTCCCACTGAAAAATTAAAGCAATCTTTACCCTTCAGTTCTTACAAGCACTTTGATTGATCTTCTACTAGCACCCAATAAACATCAGTCAAATTTTTTGCAATAATTGATTAAACCGATATATTTGTGTTGGCACGTTTTTTTTCGATCTTAAAGTGGCAAATTAACGCTACAGAATGTTTGTGTTTCAAAGGGAAATAAATGTAGTAAACAGTGTTCTCTCCAAATATTTCATATAGCATCCTGGTAAACATGGAAATTTGAAATACCATCTTGTTTCTTAAAATTATAGCATCACATCAATAACACTATCTATAAGAAAAAAAAAGTTAGATAGCATCACATAAATGTGATTTTAAAAGGCCCAGGGAGAACACTGAGTAAATTCTTACATAAAATCTGCATAGTGAAAACATAATTTTGTGAACTAATGCATAAGGTCATAGAATATTTTTTAAAACAGCAAACAATTTGAACTTTATGATATCAGCAATATTATCTTTTACTATCAAACAATTGTAGTGCAAACATCGAATTCTTTCACAAAATTAAGTAAGTAACTATAACTGCAATTAGCGGTGAAATAAAAATTTTGAAATCATTTTTTATTTATTCAGTTTAAAGGTAAACCCCTAGGATATATTCAGCAGATTGTAGTCAAGGTGGCAGTTTCACCATGGAAACCAGATGTAATGACACCTAGCGATGCTTACAGATCACCTTTAAGTAAAGTGTTCCAGCTGATAGATAAAATCAATCATTTCCAACATAATGAGGGGTAAGATTTATTTTATAATCAGTATTTTTGGTGTAGTTTTTATTAATTTGAAGTTTACTCAGTTCATCTTTTGTGAAAGAAACCACCTCTGTGGTCTCTTGATAGCATGCTCCTCTTGGGTGCAGGAGGTTGTGGATTTCCCATATGGGGTGAAATCAAAGACTTGAACCTTGGTATTTGCTGCTTCTCCACTAAGTATGCAGCATTTGATAGTAAGAGGAAAGACTGGTTGATTTGTGGTCAGAATAATGTGTTTGGTTAGAACGACATGTTTTCCTGCACACTGTTACCTTTTTGAACTACCATGTTAAAAATCAAGCTCAACATGTTGGTCTAGTACGAAGTAAGCAGGGTTTTTATACAAATTACATTAACATGTTCTCCTCCTGATATACATGTACCAGTTATGTTTGTCACTAGAGAGACAATACCAATTCACTGTCATCTTTTGTAAAATTTAAGCCATTGCAGAATAAAGGTTTTATTTTCTGTATGATAGAACTTGTTTGGAAACAAAACTAACAATTCATATTGCACCTAAGAATTGAAGATAACTCTTATATTTTTTTTGTAGTGGAGAAGATTATTCCGTATCAGATATTTGTTTCCGTGTATCAGAGGCTACATCTGCTAGGTACATCAAGGACCTGCTGCCAGAATATTCCTGTATGGTTTTATCACCAGCTAATCTATGGCAGAGCAATCCTCAGAAGTAAGTTAATATAAGATCAAAACATTTTTCATTGAATATTAACTACTTCATGTAAAATTTTATTGTTAGGAAGGCATATAGCTGACTTTTTAGCTCACCTGGCCCGAAGGGCCAAGTGAGCTTTTCTCATCACTTGGCGTCCGGCGTCGTCCGTCGTCGGCGTTAACTTTTTACATTTTGAACTTCTTCTAGAGAACCACTGAATGGAATGAAACCAAACATGGCATGTATGTTCCTTATGAGGTGCTGACCAAGTGTTGTTACTTTGTAGCCGATCCATCATCCAAGATGGCCGCCAGCGGGGGACTTAGTTTAACATAGGACCCTATGGGAAATGCATACAAATGACTTCTTTTAGAGAACCACTGTATGGAATGAAACCAAAAATGGCATGCATGTTCCTTATGAGGTGCTGACCATATGTTGTTACTTTGTAGCAGATCCATCATCCAAGATGGCCGCCATCGGGGAACTTAGTTTAACATAGGACCCTATGGGAAATACATACAAATGTCTTCTTTTAGAGAACCACTGAATGGAATGGAACCAAACATGGCATGAATGTTCCTTATGAGGTGCTGACCAAGTGTTGTTACTTTGTAGCCGATCCATCATCCAAGATGGCCGCCAGTGGGGGACTTAGTTTAACATAGGACCTTATGGGAAATACATAAAAATGTCTTCTTTTAGAGAACCACTGAATGGAATGGAACCAAACATTGCATGAATGTTCCTTATGAGATGCTGACCAAGTGTTGTTACTTTGCAGTCGGTCCATCATCCAAGATGGCCGCCAGCGGGGGACTTAGTTTAACATAGGACCCTATGGGAAATACATACAAATGTCTTCTTTTAGAGAACCACTGAATGGAATGAAACCAAACATGGCATGAATGTTCCTTATGAGGTTCTGACCAAGTGTTGTTACTTTGTAGCCGATCATTCATCCAAGATGGCCGCCAGCAGGGGACTCAGTTTAACATAGGACCCTATGGGAAATACATACAAATGTCTTCTTTAAGAGAACCACTGAATGGAATGAAACCAAACATGGCATGAATGTTCCTTATGAGATGCTGACCAAGTGTTGTTACTTTGTAGCCGATCCATCATCCAAGATGGCCTCCAGCGGGGGACTTAGTTAAACATAGGACCGTATGGGAAATACATAAAAATGACTTCTTTTAGAGAACGAATAAATGGAATGGAACCAAACATTGCATGAATGTTCCTTATGAGATGTTGACCAAGTGTTGTTACTTTGCAGTCGGTCCATCATCCAAGATGGCCGCCAGCGGGGGACTTAGTTTAACATAGGACCCTATAGGAAATACATTCAAATGTCTTCTTTTAGAGAACCACTGAATGGAATGAAACAAAACATGGCATGAATGTTCCTTATAAGGTGCTGACCAAGTGTTGTAACTTTGCAGTCGGTCCATCATCCAGGATGGCCGACAGCTGGGGACTTAGTTTAACATTGGACCCTATGGGAAATACATACAAATGTCTTCTCTTAGAGAACCAGTGAATGGAATGAAACCAAACATGGCATGAATGTTCCTTATAAGGTGCTGACCAAGTGTTGTTACTTTGCAGCCGATCCATCATCCAAGATGGCTGCCAGTGGGTGACTTAGTTTAACATAGGACCCTACGGGAAATACATACAAAATGTCTTCTTTTAGAGAACCTCTGAATGGAATGGAACCAAACATGGCATGAATGTTCCTTATGAGGTGTTGACCAAGTGTTGTTTCTTTGCAGCCGATCCATCATCCAAGATGGCTGCCAGCGGGGGACTTAGTTTAACATAGGACCCTATGGGAAATACATACAAATGTCTTCTTTTAGAGAACCACTGAATGGAATGAAACCAAACATGGCATGAATGTTCCTAATGAGGTGCTGACCAAGTGTTGTTACTTTGCAGTCAGTCCATCATCCAAGATGGCCGACAGCGAGGGACTTAGTTTAACATAGGACCCTATGGGAAATACATACAATTGTCTTCTTTTAGAGAACCAGTGAATGGAATGGAACCAAACATGGCATGAATGTTCCTTATGAGGTGCTGACCAAGTGTTGTTACTTTGCAGTCGATCCATCGTCCAAGATGGCCGCTAGGGGGGGGGTGGGGTGGGGTGGGGGCTTAGTTTAACATAGGACCCTATGGGAAATACATACAAATGTCTTCTTTTAGAGTACCACTGAATGGAATGAAACCAAACATGGCTTGAATGTTCCTTATGAAGTGCTGACCAAGTGTGGCTACTTTGTTGCCGATTTACTGTTCAAGATGGCCACCAGGATATTTTATTAAATAACGGGACCATTATTAATCCAAATTTGGCCTCAATCATTATTTGGGTATCTGTTATGATTTTTATCTATCTTTACATGATTTCTAAAACCAAAGTAGAGTCAGGTGAGCGACACAGGCTCTTGAGAGCCTCTAGTTTATATATTGTCTGTTCATCTGAAGCAAAGTTTTAACATTATGTCATAAATTATGATAAGGAGATGTGGTATGATTGCCAGTGAGACAAGTATCCACCAATGTCTAAATGACTAAGATGTAAGCAACTTTAGGTCACCATGGCCTTCAACAGTCAGCAAAACCCATACTGCACAGTCAGCTATGATAGGCCCAACATGACATAATATGAAACATGACATTATTTCATTATTACTTTTTATTACACAATAAATTTAAGTTGGTTAATTTTCTTAATGGTAACTATGAATGTTCAAATGTTATCACCTAAACAGAAAAAAAATCAGTAAAATCAAGGGTTATCAACTGATTACTGTAAATTCAGAAATTATTACTAGGTTTTTGTCTCGCCTGTCGAAAGTCGCAGAATGCGAGACACAGGGTTTACAATCAAGCTGCGGCGATAGCATAAACTATTTGTATAAAGCTTTATATTTCAGAAGGTAGAAGACATGAATGCTTCATACCTTGTATATAGATAACTTATGTTACGAAGTTTCCATTTGTCATATATAAATAAGGAGAGGTGGTATGAGTGCCAATGAGACAACTATCCATCCAAGTCAAAATGTGTAAAAAGTAAACAATTTTAGGTCAAAGTACGGCCTTCAACACGGAGCCTTGGCTCACACTGAACAGCAAGCTATAAAGGGCCCTAAAAGGCTAGTGTAAAACAATTCAAACAGGAAACCAACGGTCTAATCTATATAAAAAACAAGAAATTAGAAACACTAATGAACCACACCAACAAACGACAACCACTGAACAACAGGCTCCTGACTGAGGACAGGTGCATAAAAATGCAGCGGGTTTAAACATTTTAACAGGCGCCAACCTTCACCCTAACCTGAAACAGTGGTATAACATTACAACATTAAAAGACACACAATAAAATATCAATTGAAATGGCTTAATTCGATCAAAAAGACAATACACAAAAACAAGTAAATATACACTGAACGAATAAGTTTGATCTATGGCACAATGTAAATAAAAAAAAGATGTTTCAATGTCAAAAAGACAACTTTAACCTAGGACAAAATGGCGTTAAATAAAGTAACGTTCACAGGTAAATATAAATATAATAATTTTGTTGTAAGGAGTACAGAAACATTTTTTTCAAAATAAATTTGTTATTCATAGTACAAGTACAGAAGTGAAATTTTTTTCTTCATACTAAATACTTAAGGTGGTACATATTAAAAATAGTAAGACAAGATATAACAAAAAATAAGTAAACATTGAATAACAGAAATGCATTACAAATTGTGTCAACAGGTCAAATTAACACGAAAGTACTATTTGAGAGTACTCGCAGTTACTGAAAGCTTGTTAAAAGCCATAAACAATTAATAATAAAAAATCATGCATTAGAGACTAAAATCAATTAAAACACATCCCAGGCAGGGATTTAGTGTTTTAACGCCATGGACAGTCAAAGAAGACATGACTTGTGCAATGCCAAAATAAATGACTTTGACCTCAATTTCATGGTTCAGTAGACAATGTTTAGTTTTTTTAGGTCTGGTCTATTTCTCAGATACTATAATCAATAGGGCCACTATATTTGGTGTATGGAATGATTATAAGATGTACATGTCCATCTGGCAGGTTTCATCCGACCTTGACCTCATTTTCATTGTTCATTGGTCAATGATAAGTTTTACGCTATTTTGTCAGTTTATCAGATACTATAAGCAAAAGGTCAACTATATTTGGTGTATGGAATGCTTGTGAAGTGTTCATGTCTATCTGGCATGGTTCATCTGTTCTTGACCTAATTTTCACAGAACATTGATAATGTTAAGTTTATGTGATGCTTGTAGTAAAACCATCATAATACAGACTTTCAGCATGAATTCAATGATAAGTAAAACAGGCGAGACATTTCAGCGTGTGCATTCTTGTTATTACTGAGAATAATGCAACTGGGTAAGAATCGCTATTATAGGAAGTTGTATTCTGATATCTGATACATACATCTGTATGTAAATTTTCCTGAAATTGCAATAATTTATCTCGAATTTTGATTGGTCATGTCAAAATCACAATGATAAATGCTTGCAATAACTTCTGAATTTACAGTATTAACTTTATTTTGAGCATAAGCCCTGAAATTTTAATCAATTAGGCAGCTTTTGCTGTGTATGAGTTTTACCAACTGAAATTTGGAACCCAGTGAAATTTGACCTTTTTAATGGCTTACTAGTTTATCTTGAGCCAAACAAAAACCCAGCAACAAGTACTTAGTATAATATATGCAAATATATGCAAATATTGCCATTTGAATTTATGAGAGTTCTAATTATTTACTCCATTTTTTCTTTGTGTGAGTCATTGATGATGTCAAATTTTAACAAATATCTTTTACTTTGTCACAACCTTCAATGTATAAAGAGGTTTTTGTTTTGATTATTTTTGTCTTAAATTTTTTTAAATTTCAGATTCAGAGATGATGAAGTTTTGAGGACTATATTTAAGAGGCACGGACAAGCTCTAGAGACTCCCCCTTATCCTAAAGGTAAACAATATCAATTTAGTTCATGTGATAATAAAGATCAGTAGAAACCAAGTTTATTGACTTTTATCATTCAATCAGTGCTACATGTCCACAAATCTTAAAATTCCTAGAAAGCACCCTGCCCACATCATGAATACCATATAGAGTAGACAAGTGTTGTTTCTAGGGGGAAATAAAAAAATCCTTGTGATGGTGGACTAATCTGAGTTTTATATTTATGGTAATGTTTCTTTCTGTTTCAGACATACTATTTGGATTACCATGGACAAACACAGGAATCTCCAGATATTTTATCAGGAACAAACAAAGGACAATATCTTATGCTGTCACCTTAGTCCTGAAGAAATATGATCATAAGTATGTAACACTGGTTATATTCTAATTCATTACCTCAAACGAACATAAAGTATTTATAAAATAAAAACAAACACTTATTTCATAGGAATAGCTCGCCAACATGTGCAGCTTACTTGATTATTTTATTACAAAAATGAAATAATATGAGTCCCAATGCGGAAACGTCAATACCTCTATGTGGTACACGACAGCCTACAAAATAGAAAATCAAAGTGCGAAATCATATAATATATATATGTAAGTCTAAAATTTGAACCAATGTCATAGTATAAATAAACATTCATTTTTGGGGGAGGGGGTACCCCTTCATCTAAACTAAACTGCACTTTATACGAGATTCGAATGACAATATTCCTTAACTGACTTTAACTAAAAACTATTCACGCTTAAAAAATCCTGTGCTATTTACATATTAAATATCATACTCAATATATTTACGCATTGCAACAAATATTGACTAATCGATTGACTATTTGATATAAACACCTATAGATGACCTCTATAAAGACACACACTCACATGTGTTGGTTTACATAAATAGAAACGTGTATGCTCAACTTTAATAAATACATTTATTTCAAATCAGAATTAAGATAATGAAAATTATTCATATTATTTTAGGTCCCTTTTGGTCATATAGCTCTTAAGTTTTCTACTTTTTATACATCCCTGGATTTCAAATGGTTGGGTGTTCCTAATGAAGGTAAATCCAGGAGAGTGCATTGATCACACAAAATTTGTAAAGCGTTATTATCCTTTACATGACAATTATATTTTTTGTAATTTTTCTTTAATGGTATTTCATCATGTGTATCTGTTTTTGTAAACTTTTTGAACACGAAATCAAAAATATACCTTGGATAACATGGAATTTAATTCTCTCTGCTCTCCCCATGCCTAGCTAGTTCATATCTATGAAAAATTCAAGGTAAATAATGATATAATGACCCTAACTAAGAAAATGGTTGTCCATCAAGATAAAGTATACAGTTTACATCTGTTCTGACTAAAACTGTATATAATTCTAGTCAATGTGTGAATGAATGATATAATATATGAAAAAGATGACGGGAATTACAAACAAAAATATAATGGATAATATCTTATTGGGTTATCTGTTAATTCATGTTTGTCAATTGTTGACTCAATTACAGCCATTAGACTGCAGAAATTGCATCAACTTTTAACTTTTGTGCTAATTTGATATTTTGTAATCATGGTAATTGTATAATGATAAGCTACAAATTGTTTCTCCTGTTATACACTTTAAAAGAATTCAGAAGTTTGATTAATTTTATACTTATAAATCAAAGGGGTTGTTGGGTATACATCAATTAGAAAGCGATCTAACAATGCTAAGAAAAACAATATAGAAGACTTGTTGGGGTCATCATACACTATTCAACAATAGACAAGATGCTGTAACATTGATTAAGCTCTAAATTGCCATGAGCATAAACAAGTTATGCAATTTTGTACACACTGTGTTTATTATCATGTGTAAGGTATTGAACTTCTATTTTGTATGATCCAGTACAATAAGTGTTACAGATAAAGCTAGCATATTGTTTTGATATACTTGTAATGGAATAATAGCCCTTGACGATTAGACTGTGATCTATGCATGTTATTGTGTCAGACACGTCTAGTTAGATATGTTCATGTATTAAGATATCTTAACTCTTATGGATTACTTGCTTTACAGATTTTTAGATGCTTTAAAGAAGAAATTGATAGACTGGTACCCTGAGACTGTAAACAATGTAAATTTGACAGAACCAGTCAACATTGTACATGTGCACTACCAAGAAATTAAGTTCATGTCGGAGTATACATATCTAGTGGTCACTTATATTGTATTGTTCTTGTATTTGTATTTTTCTGTCAGTAAGTTATCAATTTGTTTCATATATATCACTATAAATGTATGAATAAGTAAGGGTATTAAGTTTGTCATAATAACTATTGAAACAGCGCTTCATCTATGTAGACATAAAAGTCATATAGGCTTTCACCTAATGCTCATAATATACAAGAAGCTTTAAATATCTGTATGAAACAAATAGATGACACTTCCTGCTATTCAAAAACACAGATTAAGTGGTTGATGCTTAATGTTTTCTCCACTGAAATCTGAATATAGTTTCATACATTCATACAATGTAATAAACTGTAAAACCAATGATAAATCAAATGATTATATAGGGCTTTTGTCGTAGCCCCTGACTTTTTATAATTGATTTGTTCTGAACACTTTTTTAAAGATGTTTATATATTGTTATGCGTTCTAAGAAGAAAGTCATCATGATAGATTGATTGATCATTGTCAGCTTTACATTTCTTGGCATATATAATAGAAATGTTCATATTGAGGTCAAACTTTTCTATTGTTATGTGCATGATAGCTAGCTATTTTATTAGACGATTTTCATTCAAATGACAAAATATATCATAAGAGCACTTATATTATTTGTATTACTTTACACTTTTTGTCAAGCCTGCGACTTTTGTCGCAAAAGCGAGACATAGCGATCCTACATTTCGTCAGCAGCGGCATCCACAAATATTCACTCTGTGGTTAAAGTTTTTGAAATTTTAATAACTTTCTTAAAATATCCTGAATTTCTACCAAACTTGGACAGAAGCTTGTTTATGATCATAAGATAGTATCCAGAAGTAAATTTTGTAAAAAAAAAAATCCTGTTTATCCATATTTTACTTATAAATAGACTTAGTTTTTCTGCCAGTTAACATTACATTCACTCTGTGGTTAAAGTTTTAAAAATTTTGATAACTTTCTTAAACTATCCTGGATTTCTACCAAACTTGGACAGAAGCTTGTTTATGATCATAAGATAGTATCCAGAAGTAAATTTTGTAAAAAAAAAAATCCTGTTTATCCATATTTTACTTATAAATGGACTTAGTTTTTCTGCCAGTTAACATTACATTCACTCTGTGGTTAAAGTTTATAATCAAAAGCTAGTATCTAGAAGGAAATTTTGTAAAATTTATTTCCTGTTTTCCGTATATTACTTATAAATGGACTGTTGTCTGCTCTTTGGTTGGGTTGTTGTCTCTTTGACATATTCCCCATTTCCATTCTCAATTTTAGATTTTCTTACAGTTAACATTACATACAGTCTTCAGTTAAAGTTTTTAAAACATTTATTAGATTCATAAACCATCCTGGATTTTTACCAAACTTGGACAGAAGCTTCTTACAATCAAAAGATAGTATCTAGAGGAAAACTTTTAATAATGTTTTCCCCATTTTTATTGAGCCTGTCACCAAAGCTAGACATAGCAATCCTACATTCCGTCGGCGGCGGAAGCGGCGGCGTCCACAAATATTCACTCTATGGTTAAGGTTTTTTAATTTTTAATAACTTTCTTATCTATCCTGAATTTTTAACAAACTTGGACAGAAGCTTGTTTATGATCATAAGATAGTATTCAGAAGTAGATTTTGTAAAAAACAAATCCAGTTTTCCATATATTACTTATAAATGGACTTATTTTTTCTACCAGTTACTATAACATTCACTCTGTGGTTAAAGTTTTTAAAATTTTAATAACTTTCTTAAACTATCCTGGATTTGTACCAAACTTGGACAGAAGCTTGTTTATGATCTGAAGATAGTATCCAGAAGAACATTTTGTAAAATAATTATTTCTGTTTTTCAGTATTTTACTTATAAATGGACTTAGTTTTTCTTCAAGTTAACATACCATTCACTCTGTGGTGAAAGTTTTTAAAATTTTAATAACTTTCTTCTACCATACTGGATTTTAACCAAACTTGCATAGAAGCTTGTTAATGATCAATATAAGGAAAGTTTAGGATTTTTTTTTTTAGTTTTTCTGTATTTCACTTTTAACCTTACATACATTTACATTAACTCTTTGGTTATATTTATGTCACCTGGCCGATAATCATTTTATTTTAATTGACTCTATAATCATTGAAAATGTTGTTTATGAGGAAAAAAATGCTTCCCATATTTCCTATAACACACAATTTTCTTATTTGCACATATATTCTACTTTTTTAGTTGCATCAAGTATTTTGAACAAAATTTTATAATTGCATCTTCTATTTACATGCATTTTTATTGACGAATTAAGGGATAAAAATATCAAGCAATGTAAAAATTATCTTCTTTATCATTTCTTCATTCAATAAATTTATGTTTCAACTCTTTTATAAGTGTATAGATTTGATTGCATACTGTATTCATTTTTTACAAGCATAACTTTTTTCATACATTTCAAACGTTTTATTTCATTAACTGTAAATCTATTATGAGCATTCCCCTATCACACCGAAAACATAGACAACAGCAAAAGTAGGCTAGCCACTGGGTTCCGCGGAACACTTACAAATTTTTAATATCGCATTGGTATTATGAAAGTCCAAGGCTTCTTGTATGAGCAGAAGTCTTTGTAAGCCCCTCATATAAAATACTTGACACAATTGTCAACAATGCTAAAATATAAAAATAAAAAATCATGTGGTCTGAATTACGAGTTAACATAAAATAATTTTTGACTATATTTTTTTGAAAAAGAAGTAAACAAGGTCAGTAAAATAATTGAATAAATAATTGTTACTTTTTTGTGTTATAGGTAAAATAGATATGGTGAAGTCAAAAGGAGGATTAGCTTTTAGTGCAGTATTTACTGTTGTAGCCTCTCTTCTCATGTCTGTCAGTATCTGTACTATGTTTGGATTGACACCTACTTTAAATGGAGGGTAGGTATTTAGTGCAGTATTTACTGTTGTAGCCTCTCTTCTTATGTCTGTCAGTATCTGTACTATGTTTGGATTGACACCTACTTTAAATGGAGGGTAGGTATTTAGTGCAGTACTTACTGTTGTAGCCTCTCTTATGTTTGTCAGTATCTGTACTATGTTTGGATTGACACTTACTCTAAGTGGAGGGTAGGTATTTAGTGCAGTATTTACTGTGGTAGCCTCTCTTCTCATGTCTGTCAGTATCTGCACTGTTTGGATTGACACCTTCTCTAAATGGAGGGTAGGTATTTAGTGCAGTATTTACTGTGGTAGCCTCTCTTCTTATGTCTGTCAGTATCTGCACTATGTTTGGATTGACACCTGCTCTAAATGGAGGGTAGGTATTTAGTGCAGTATTTACTGTTGTAGCCTCTCTTCTCATGTCTGTCAGTATCTGTACTATGTTTGGATTGACACCTACTTTAAATGGAGGGTAGGTATTTAGTGCAGTACTTACTGTTGTAGCCTCTCTTATGTCTGTCAGTATCTGTACTATGTTTGGATTGACACCTACTCTAAATGGAGGGTAGGTATTTCGTGCTGTATTTACTGTTGTAGCCTCTCTTCTCATGTCTGTCAGTATCTGTACTATGTTTGGATTGACACCTACTCTAAATGGAGGGTAGGTATTTAGTGCAGTATTTACTGTTGTAGCCTCTCTTCTCATGTCTGTCAGTATCTGTACTATGTTTTGATTGACACCTACTCTAAATGGAGGGTAGATATTTAGTGCAGTATTTACTGTTGTAGCCTCTCTTCTCATGTCTGTCAGTATCTGTACTATGTTTGGATTGACACCTACTCTAAATGGAGGGTAGGTATTTAGTGCAGTATTTACTGTTGTAGCCTCTCTTATGTCTGTCAGTATCTGTACTATGTTTGGATTGACACTTACTCTAAGTGGAGGGTAGGTATTTAGTGCAGTATTTACTGTGGTAGCCTCTCTTCTTATGTCTGTCAGTATCTGCACTATGTTTGGATTGACACCTGCTCTAAATGGAGGGTAGGTATTTAGTGCAGTATTTACTGTGGTAGCCTCTCTTCTTATGTCTGTCAGTATCTGCACTGTTTGGATTGACACCTTCTCTAAATGGAGGGTAGGTATTTAGTGCAGTATTTACTGTGGTAGCCTCTCTTCTTATGTCTGTCAGTATCTGCACTATGTTTGGATTGACACCTGCTCTAAATGGAGGGTAGGTATTTAGTGCAGTATTTACTGTTGTAGCCTCTCTTCTCATGTCTGTCAGTATCTGTACTATGTTTGGATTGACACCTACTCTAAATGGAGGGTAGGTATTAGAGGAGGTCTAGAAAAATATGTCTTGCTAGTTGATGGAAATTTAATGGATGTTTTAATCATAAGAAGTTGTATAATAAAATGAATTTACCTCAACTTTGAAAACTCCTTTCTCTTACAGTTATTCCTTGTTCAATTTAGATTATATAAGTTTTTAAAATTTAAGCACTGAAAATAAAGCGTCAACTTTTCATATGAATTAATCTTGCATATGTAATGTTATTCTTAGAAATTTGGAGTCAGTTTACATGAAAACATGTATTTATTTTTTTCTTTCAGGGAGATATTTCCATACCTTGTGGTACTTATTGGTGTTGAGAACATACTAGTGATTACAAAGTCTGTTGTATCAACCCCTGTAGATTTGGAGGTCAAATACAGGATAGCTCAAGGTCAATATTGAATCTAAATGTGTATTTATACATTAAATATTGTATATTCTCTCAACAGATGTTGTATAGGTATAGGTAAGACTAAATTACACAATAAAGCCAAAGATGAAACAAATGCTATAAAATTTACTTTATAAATGCAGTAAAATAAAAGAAAAAGTACTTTTCTCTCAAGAAAATACTGTTTAAAACATTAAAACCAGAATAAGTATGAAAAGATTAGCAAAAACTATAAAAAAGGTTACCTATGTTTAGGGAAGTGGTTAAATGACATACTTAGAACAAGACAGTCCTGTTGGGCACTACCAAGACTGCCAACAGTTGAGTAGTGATATCAATTAAAGATATCCAATTTGTTGATTGTTTTGCTTACTGTTCAGTGGGAAATATTTCATACATAATAAGGAGGGGAAAAAAATTAAACTGCATTGATTAATTAGGTTCTGCAAAGTTTGTCAATGGGCATGAACGTTGGAAAATTTGGACTGCCGCTGAAACGATGGGTATGTAGAATAGTAGCAGAAATTTGTATTGCAATAGGCCATCTATTAATCATTTCAACATTTGTTGCATGGGTTCTTTAAAATACAGAGAGTGCTTTAACATCCCTATCCCGACTGCTGGATGTGACTGCATATTTATCCAAACTTTAAAGCCAAACAGACACTGCCTCAGCATGGTTCTTATTGCAGTACAGCTAGGCAACCAAATTTCTAAACCTTTGTGATTCAAATCTGATTGTAATAGGACATTCTTCTGCATCAACCTTTAGGACACTGATTTGCATTGTCATAGATTTTATTACATTACATTATTGTGAACCTTTGGTGTCGGCTTGCATATATACTTAAATCATTTCAGTGTCTAGACAGTGATTACTGGTTTAATGATAATTTTTCTAACAAATACTTGAACTGATGTGATACTGACTGAGTTAAAGGGATGTAGCTACCAGTCTTGCTACACATAGCAATTTTTAAATCAGCCATTTGAAAATTCCACTTGATTTTCTTATTTTAACTCTTATATTTAGAGTTTCAAATCAATCAAAAGGCAATCTGTTTTCAAGAAGTTCATTGATGCTTGCACAATTATAATATAAAGTACAGAGCGTAATATTATTAAAAACAATTACTCCTATACTTGTAAACACATAGTATTTTGTTTGATTAACTGCTTTCTTTTCAAATGTGTCCTGCACATTACAGAAATACATATTCTCTTTTAACTTTATTTACCAGGTATTAGTAAGGAAGGTTGGTACATAACCAAGAACTTGGCAACAGAACTGATGATTGTAGTTGGAGGTTTTGTTACATTTGTTCCACAGATTCAGGTAATGTTGACCTACCTTACAGTTCATAGCTCATTTTCCAAATTTTTATGGCCTCGCAACAAAGTTGTCAGGGCCATTTAGTTTTACTCTTATCCGTCATTCCGTCATTTTTTCTAAACGCCTTCACAAATTGAGCTGATTTTTTGTATGTGAATCTATTATGATGAGTTAAAGATTGAGTTTACGTCTGGTTCAACTCCACTGATTTATGCCGAAATTATGGGCTTTGGACTTTTGAATATTTCGTGAAAATAACAGTTGAAAAAAAATCAGGAAAAACACGAGTTTTACCTGTTTAGAGATGAACATGAGAGAAAAGACATTTTTTCAATGCTTTAACCAAACATGCAATTTTTATAAAGTTATGTAATTAATTGAATTAAATGCATAACAGTAAATGTGCCAAAACAAAAGGCTTCAAGACATAGTCATAGAATAGTTGGAAAATGCTTGCTAGTTAAATCTGCAAGTTCAGATATGACTCATTTTTCTTCTTTGATAGTTTTATTAAATTTTGTATTCTCAACTTCACTCCTTTTCATTTGTGCTCACCTGGCCATCAGGGCCTAGTGAGCCTTTCTCATCACTTGCAGTCCGTCGTTGTCGTCCTCGCCAACTGTTAGTTTTTACAAAAATCTTCTCTAAAATTACTGTGCCAAATTTAACCAAACTTGGCCACAATTACCATTGGGGTATCTAGTTTAAAAAATATGTCTGATGACCCAGCTTGCCAACCAAGATGGCTGCATGGCTTTAAATTGAACAATGGGGTAAAATGCAACTTTTGTCAATTCTTGAAAACCACTATAAAAAGAGAAAATCTGACAGGGGCAGAAATGTTCAGAATGTTGAGCTATAACTATTGTCCATTTACGTCAAAACAGTGAGACTACTTCTTATTGGAGTTATTGCCAAGTTTAACCATTTATTTTCATTTTTGCCTATTATCTTGAAATCTTTAAAAAAAAAAAGAGAGAAACTTTAAACAGCAAAAAGGATCAGTAAAACAAGATCTTCAACTAAGTCAACTTTATCAAAATTGTCAGATGACTCCTTATTAGAGTTATTGTTTTGAATATTTTTACAAATTTTTTGTATTTTTACCTAATATTTTAATACAAAAATCCTCTTCTCTAAGCTTAATTTAACCAAACTTTGCCACAACCATTTTTGGGGTATTTAGTTTAAAAGATGTGTCCGACTGCAAACCAACATGGCTAAAAATAAACTTAAAGGTAAAATGCAAGTTTTGTCTATTATGTTAAAAATCGCTATGAATAGAGAAAACTGACTGGCGATAGAAATGTTCAGAATGTTGAGATCTACATGCTGTCCATTTACGTCAAAAATGTCAGACATTTTCATATAGTTCTTGCCATAAAATGGTAAATTTTACTAATTTCTTTTATTTTTGCCTATTATTTTGAAAAACTAATTAAGAAAAATTATCAGCAAGACAAGATCTATTTGAAAGTCAAATGGTTGAAATCGTCAAAGGACTTGTTCTTGGAGTTATTGCTCTTTAATGACGATTTTTACCATATTTGACATTTTTATACGCCCGTTTACGGGACGTATTATGGTATACCGTTGTCTGTCCATCCGTCCGTCGTCAATATGTAGGACAATAACTCAAAAACACTTTAACCAATTTGCATGATACTTTGGTGAATTGTTTATAGAATCATGTGCATAACAGCGTAGACGAGACCATTGATTGGCGCGCTAAAATATCCCATTGACTGGGTCAGATTAGGTGAACGTTCGTCTGTAACGCCCACTATTCACGACGTATTTGTTATAGACATTTAAACTGTGGGGTCACCAAAGGGTCTCAACGCCTAAATAAAATGATTCGAAAACAAAACTAATCAGGAATAACCTTTGTGTTTTGATTTATATTGAATACTTAAATGTTCTTTACTTGTGTTTTTGTTATGTTTTGATAATCAATTTTTATGATATCGCACGTTCTTTCAGCAAAAAAAGGATTTAACTGGCTTTAAAAGTTACAATGCATGTGTTGATTATTATCTTTTTTCGGACGTCAAAAGGATTTAACAATTGCGGTTGTCCAATTATGTCATCTTTTAACTTTTATCTGGTCAAAATTTTATTTTGAAACGAATGCATGATCAACTTTTAAAAGTGTGCAAACACCAAACATATAGACAAAATATACTTCTACTTCTGTCCTGTCTTTTTCGTACTTGCAAGTTATTAGACAGTAAAAAGGCTATTTGGATCAAGCCTTGTGAAATTTGCATTTTCGTTTTTGAATAGGTAAAATGTATAGTTTGGTGAACTTTTCTGCTAACTACTATACTTGTGAAAAACCCTTGGCAACATAAACATTTTTTTTTAATCGACCCAATTTACATAGTAATGGACGACATTGTACATTTTCTGATCGCAAATAAAATATTTATATAATATACTGTGCACTGTAGTTCGTATATTCATTTTTTCTTTTGTTAATGGATTTTCCCGTCTTTCTGGGAGCAATTATTTGTTATTGACTCCTTAAGCTTACTCGCAAATAATTTAAAACCAAGACTTGCAAAAAAAATGTCCAAACAAACCTTGATTTTCCTTTTTTTTAAACATACATCTCAGTCATAGATAAGGACTTAAATTCGCCAGGTCTTTAATTTCAAGTAAGTGAGTTGACCAAAGTAACATTGCGGACCATTTGCCAGTTTCCATGCGGTATCCGTGTTTTTTCACTCGCTCTGTTCTGCATCCACTGATCTTTCGTGTTTGTCATGACAAGGCCATTTGAAGCTTTCATGCTATACAGTGTGTGTTTTGCTTATTGTTGAAGGTCGTACAGTGACCTATATTGCTAACTTCTGTTGACCGCTGGAAGGGATTTGTCTGATTGTCTATCACACCACATATTCTTATTTTTATATGCAGTTATATCTATAATAAAATTGAGAATTGAAACGGGGAATGTATCAAAGAGACAACAATCCGACCAAAGAGCAGAAAATTTGTTTTTCGTTAATTGTTTTGTTGTAGATTAGGCCATTGGTTTTCTCAATTGAATTGTTTCATATTTTTCATGTCGGGGACTGTTGTAGCCGACTATACGATATGGGTTTTTCTCATTATTGAAGGCCGTACGGTTGCCTATAATTGCTTACATCCACTTCATTTGAACTTTGGTGGATAGTTGTCTTATTAGCAATCATACCACATCTCCTTATTTTTATATAAAGTTGTATCAATTGTGACTTTAGATACATTGATGTATTGATTTTTGTTTGCGTAACGTCTAGTGTTAAATTTGTCATGCATGTTTAGGACTATTAAATATATTGCAGATAGTTTCGTAATTAAACGGCTTTAGATCTGTTATACAACAATAATACATAAAAAGATAAAAGGAAGGAAAATTAAGAGACCACAACAACAAAGACCATAGAGTCCTGTCCATAAATAGTAAAATAGACGTTTAATCAACAATGAACAACACAAAACCCGGATAGCCGGACGTTTAGCTCAAATTTAGTGGGGCTAGTCCAGTTTAACATGCAATCCCTCCCTTGCTAGACTTGGTGCAGGCACACAATCCAGTGGGTTAAATCAGTATAACATGCACCCTCCCCAGCCCGACTTTGGCACAATATGTAGCGGTGTATTGGTATTGCTGTGTGTTTGTTTAATCTACATAGGCTAGAGGTATAGGCGAGGGTTGAGATCTCACTAAACATGTTTAACCCCGCCGAATTTTTTGCTCCTGTCCCAAGTCAGGAGCCTCTGGCCTTTGTTAGTCTTCATTTTGTATGTTTTTTAATTTTAGTTCATTTATTTGTTTAGGAGTTCAGTGTGACGTCCATTTTCACTGAACTAGTACACATTTTTGTTAAAGGGCCAGCTCAAGTTCGCCTTCGGGTGCGGGATTTTCTCGCTGTGTTGAAGACCCATTGGTGCCTTCGGCTGTTCAAAGTTGTTTATTCTTTGGTCGGGTTGTTGTCTCCTTGAAACATTCCCCATTTCCATTCTCTATTTTAACATGTAACCTTTCAAACTTTTTTTGTCTGTCTTGATTATATTTGGCAATAAACAATAAAAGAAAAATAAACTACAGAGCGCAGCTTCCAACAGGATTACAACAAGAAAATTAATTTTAAAATGCGGTCAACAGTCAAAATTTATTAATATTATTAAAAATATTTAAAACAAATCTTAAGTTTTGTGAAAAGAAAGTTTCATTTTATGTATCGAAATGTGTAACAAGTGATCATTATTTAAATCCCCACTGGAAGGCCTCTGACAGACTGAGTGAGCGTAAAATCATTGTTATCGATAGCCAATGACAAACAAGTTAAAGGTAATTTATTCAGTATTATTACAAACAAAAGTTTTACGGTTGTCTACGCTGTTATGAAAACGATTCTATCTATTGACGTGCGCTCCCTTTCGTTTTTTATAAATTTTAGATTTTATGTTTCAGAGTTATGAGGTTTTATACATTAAAAAAGGGGGATTTTCCAGTTTTCAGACAATAACTCAAAAACACTTTCACCAATTTGCAAGAAACTTTGGTGAATTGTTTATATCTATTGACGTCAGCTCCTTTTCTTTATTTATCAATTTTAGATTTTACGTTTCCGAGTTGTGATCATAGGTTTTATTCATTAAAAAAGGGGGATTTTCCAGTTTTCGGACAATAACTCAAAAACACTTTCACCAATTTGCAAGAAACTTTGGTGAATTGTTTATATCTATTGACATGAGCTCCCTTTCGATTTTTATAAATTTTAGATGTTATGTTTCCGAGTTATGGGGTTTTATTCATTAAAAAAAGGGTGATTTTCCAGATTTCGGACAATAACTTAATGCTTTCAGCAGTTTTCATGAAACTTTGGTGAATTGTTTATATCTATTGATGTCAGCTCCTTTTCTTTTTTTTATCAATTTTAGATTTTACGTTTCCAAGTTGTGATCATAGGTTTTATTCATTAAAAAAGGGGGATTTTCCAGTTTTCGGACAAAAACTCAAAAACACTTTCACCAATTTGCAAGAATCTTTGGTGAATTGTTTATATCTATTGACATGAGCTCCCTTTCGATTTTTATAAATTTTAGATGTTATGTTACGAGTTATGGAGTTTTATTCATTAAAAAAAGGGTGATTTTCCAGTTTTCGGACAATAACTCAAAAACGCTTTCAGCAGTTTTCATGAAACTTTGGTGAATTGTTTATATCTATTGACGTAAGCTCCCTTTCAATTTTTAAAAATTTTAGATTTTACATTTCCAAGTTTTGGAATTTTATTCATAAAAAGGGAGTGATTTTCCAGTTTTTGGACAATATCTTTAAAGTGCTTTGAGCAGTTTTCATGAAATTTTGGTGACGGGTTTATATCTATTAAGATAACCTCCCTACAGTTTTTCATAAATTTCTGATATGACATTGAGAAGTTATTGAACTTTATTCTTTGAAAACGTGACTGGCGTATCATGCACTCATGGCGCAGCTGTTTATTGCCTATTATCTTGAAAATTATAATAGATATATAGAAACTTTAAATAGCAAAAATGATCAGCAAGACAAGATATACATATAAGCCTTGTGGCTTAAAGGTATAATTAATACCACCAAAAAAAAAACTAAGTCATAAACATGTATCTTGGGTGTTTCAAAGCACACTTCTTTTTTTAATTGGTGTTTCTATAAAATATTTTCAAAACTTGAGGTTACAGGATTACTAAAGCTTGTAAACAAGAAAATAAGGGGTGAAAATTTGATTGGTTAACTTCCAGTGATGGTTATTATCTTATATGCAATGAAACTTTGTCTGTAGTACTGGACAGGATAAAATTTTACTCATGCCTAGTATTTCTTTATTTGGAACAAAGGTAAATTTCTGCACAATTTTTTAAAAAGTGCCAATTTAACAAAGACTAATAGGGGGAAACAATGGTGGTATTACCCCCAAATCTTAAGTCGACTCGTTAATGCAGTTATTGCCCTTTAAAGATGATTTTTACCATTTTTTAAGTTTTTGTCTATTATCTTTCAACCCAGATTATTTAAACTTCGACAACATAGTGGAGTTGTGTTAAAAAAACTCCCTGTTCTCCATTGTAAAAAAAAAACATTCTGTTCAACCTAGTCATTTTAAATTGTGATCCATTTTTGTGGATTGGTTAGTAAAGAAAATGCTCATTATTTGTTTAAGCCTTACGGCCATTGCTTGTTCTAGTGATGGCATTGTGTCATGAAAAAATTTAGCCTATCAAAACGACAAGGCATGATGGAAAATCTTTTGTCTGTTCTCTTGCACTGTAGTAATTTAGGTCTATATTTTTAAGTTCATTTTTTTTTTTCAATAAATCTCTTAATTTTTTTATTCCAGGAGTTTGCTGTATTTGCGTTGGTTGGTTTACTGACTGATTTCTTCCTACAAGTTGTGTTCTTTGTTACAGTATTATCTGTTGATATCAGAAGAATGGAAGTAAGAAATTTATGTTTCATTTGTTCTTAATCTTACAGTCAGATCTACCTGTCTACAGTTTCTATTATATTTTTGTCAAACAATCATCTTGATGATTTCCATAATGTTATATTGGCATCATAACTTTATATCAGGACTTCCAAAACGGCCGTATTGTCCGGACTTGTCCGATAAATTAAATTTATGCCAAACCTGAAACAGACATTTAACGTGGGTTTGCCATTTTAACATAATTCAAAAAAAAATTTAAGTTTTTGCTATCTTTTTGACCTGACCTTTTTGCCTTAAACAGCCACATTCCCAGTCATAAAAGTGACATGGTGAATAAGTGCTATCAAAACAAACCCTACTTTAATACCCTTTGATTACAATGAGGTTAATTAGTTGTCAGACAGTTGAAATTCACCTGTTCAGGTAACAGGTTAACTAATATGTACCGGACATTGATCGGTCTATATGAAGTTATTTTCTTAAATTTCAGCAATTTGCATCCAATTGATTTATTCAAAAAGATTTAAATTCTCAAAAATATGTATATAAATATGATTTGATGAAAAATTAAAAAAGGTAGTTATAAAGGTTTTAAGGTCAGAACCACGTTGTTTCAACTAGTACAAGCATGTGCATGTGCGCAGTTGTGAGATTTAAGAATGAACCGAATTCTTCAAAAATGCTAAAATTATCATTGATACCGTTATCTGTCGTTCATTTCAAATATTTTCTTGAAGAAATAACCAGGAAAGAGCTACTAACACTCAATCGTGCTTTGTAAACATGCACGGATTTTACGTATCCCTCTCTGGTCCGTGTTTTACCAATGTCATGTCAACATCCAGTATAAGAAAATGTGCCTTCTAAAAAAACAAAAGTAAAAATTTTGACAATGTAATTTTGAACAAATAAAGATTCTAAGGCAGATATTAGTACGCTAATGTTGCACACTTCCCATGATGCACTGTCAATTTAACAGTTTACGTCAGAACATCGAATTTGTATCAAAAGTCAAGTTTAATATCGTTATTATGTTAATCATTGTTTATATATGATGCCCAATTGATAACCATGATTACCTTTTGTTACTTAGTCTTAAAGGATTAAAAAAGGAGTATATTTTCTTGAAATTGAACAATTGAACTACACAATATCACAAGTAATATGTGTATGTAGCTAAAAAATACATTTTGTGAGTAAGTTTACACAGTTTACATAGAGATGGTATGCTGTCGTCACTCTATCTAATGATAAATGACAATTGAATATAAATTTCTCACTGAGAGGAGAGTATTTAATAATGTAGAATGAACATTTAGCTATACTTAAGATTCTTACTATATTCAGTTAAAAGTTGCATATTTATTATTAACATTAAATGTTTTAAATGGTTTTTTTTTCATACATAGCTATCAGATTTACACAAGAGGGCCATCAGAAGAAGTACATCAGATTCTGTTCTAAGAAAGAAAGAAAATATGGAGCCATTAGTCCGATGTCCTGTGATGACATTATTGGGATCAGCTGAGACAGGTTCTAAATCTCCCGGAGCACCCTCACAACCAGTGAAAAAAGATGGGTTCTTATCTAATCCACAGGCTCTTCAATCTTCCAGGAGACTTAAATTGATAGATTTTATAGGCAGAACAAGAGCTTTACAGAAGTGTATGATGGTAATGCAAATACTATGAAAAAAAATCTTGGAACAAGTCTTTATTTTCATCTCAGATTCAATGATTTTACAGTTTCGTCAAAACATGTTATATATTTCATAGAAAGTCTTAAAGGAGTGGATTTTCAAAGGGTTAGTAACCATGAAAATTCAAAACTTTGAATAATAGAACTATTTTTACACAAAATATTTTTTTGAATATATTAAATATAGACTTGATTTGAATTGTTTAGTGAATGTGTCACTATGTCATAGATATATGCACTCTGACTCAGACAGAATATTAAGTAACTAATTTAGTGCGATAAGAAGTTGTTGTCATTCAGTGGTGATTTTCAGTTGGTATATTTCTTGTTGTTTTCTGTCAGTGTTAATATCGTAAGTTTCATGCTATATCAAAAATGTGTTCATTTTTAAAAACACAACCAAGCTATCTAATAATACCTTTGCTATATAGAACTGTCATGGATTTTTGCTATTGAAAGTGATGAAAGCTTTACTTACAAAAGGGATGGAGAATTTAAAAACAAACATGTATTTACATTTTACTGATAAAGAAATACGAGCAAAGAACTGATTTTAATATGGGATTTGGTGTCTAAGAGACGGACAATTTATTTTATATGTTTATTGTTTTGACAGGTTTGTACAGTTATCTGGATAGGATTGATTGTCTACAAATCAGGTCTGGTAGAACATTTAACTAATTCTACACTAGCTATTAATTATTCTATCAACCAAGCAAAGCAGAACAGTGGTAAAGATGAGTATTATGGAATGTCATTTCCTTGGGGATTCCTAGAGTCAGAAGAGATATCACCAGTGAATCATACGGAAGCAGAATTGTGGAAGGACTTGAATCATAAACATTGGCTGACTATGTTTGGTTATTACAATATAAGTCTTTATGGCAGGTAATTACAAGTTAGATAGAAACAGGTTGTCTTCAATAAACAAGTCCATAAATTCTACCTCCATCCTAGAAAACTCACAACAAAGTATAATTCATCAGAAATTTCTCTTGTAAAATTTACTCTAATGAAATGGAAATTTAGTATGTTAACTTTCTGTTCTGATTTATTTTCACAATAATGTGAAATATATCAATGTTACTTCAGCACTACAGTCCTTTGATTGGCTCACCTAGGATTGATTGATTAACTGTTGCTTGCTTAACCTCTAGTGCATGTAGTGGCAATTATTTCATGCATATTCTGAGCAAAAGGTTGTGCAAGGTATTGCATTCACTAGGCATATCTTAGAAACTTCTGCGCCAATCTGGTTTAAAAGTTTGGGGTGAATGCCTGCCAAGTCTCAAAGGTGTTTCCTGTGGCTAAAGATAGAACATGGCATCAAAACAGACTTTTGGTTTCTATCTCAAAAATTAAATAGAGAAAAAAACTGTCATGTCAAACCAATCAGCATGTCATGATAATTTTAATTTGTCTGAAATCTTCTGATTATTATACATCAGTAAAATGGAAATTTCTGTGAGCATGCTATACTTTTTAATGTGTTTTCACATTCATCGCTGATCAACTTCCTGTTTCCGAATACTTAAGTAGATATAAGAAGATGTGGTATGAGTGCCAATGAGACAACTCTCCATCCAAGTCAAAATTTATAAAAGTAAACCATTATGGGTCACAGTACGGTCTTCAACACGGAGCCTTGGCTCACACCGAACAGTAAGCTATAAAGGGCCCCAAAAAATTACTAGTGTAAAACCATTCAAACGGAAAAACCAACGGTCTAATCTATATAAAAAACGAGAAACGAGAAACACTTATGAACCACATCAACAAACGACAACTACTGAACATCAGATTCCTGATATTCTTACGAAGAATTAGCATGTGTGAAATTTTTGGAGGAACTACAAATCAGACCTTCCTGAAATTTGTTATCAGGCTTCAAGTGATCATGTTTTACTGTATGAATAATTTTCACATTCATGGTTTATCAACTTCCTGTCCTATTTACCAACTACTTATATATTCTTAAAGATATTAACCATTCATAAACTTTTTGTCACATTTTTCTCAGAAACTGCTAATCAGAGCACCATGAAATTTGGTTTAAACATTTATATTCTTATTATTATATTCCAGATACATCAGTATTATTCCATCAATCCATATATCTATGCTCATTAATCCACAAGAAGCCATACAGTTCAGACAGCCTTCAGATGGTACACCAGAACAACAGAGTAATAGAGTAGACATGACAGAAGACGTCACAGTAGAAGGAGGAGATTTTCCACCACAATATATGTATGATTCAGAACATTTCAAGCAGTTTTATCCAAAGTCACGGAGAGAGTATGTGATAACTATGTGCTTTGGAATTCTTACTGTTATTTGCATTTCATATTTTGTTGTAGCATTATATCATTGTATTTGTCCACGCAACTATGCCAAATGGCGACAAAAGTGGAGCCGTAATGGGAGAAAAAACCGTCATAGTGGATACATAAGACAGATAAAAGCATCTGTACCAAAGGTTCTTAAAGGACATGCTCAGGTAAATATTGGCTAAGCCATTCTTGAGAGTTTAGTTAATCTTTTCTGTTATACAGAATATTTAAAATATATATATATATAATATGATTAGCTGTTCCACACTGATTATAATCAGTTCATTTAATCAGTCAGATGATAAGATCTTAGTTAGATTTTTGATGCTATAGAAAAATGAAGATCCTATCAAGGATTCTTTAACTGTTACACAATTATAGATGAATAATTTTCACTATAGTTGGTAGATTTTATTTTTTCATTTCATTTTCTTTGCTTAATTAAAGTGTTTATTTTATTTCAATAGGAGATTGAGTGTTTAGCAACAGATGGACATTTTATTGTTAGTACTTGTCTGGGTGGACAGTTACGTGTATGGGATTCCATAACTGGAGAATGTGTCACAGTTATACTCAGGAAAAGGTAATATGAATAAAAAATATGATATATGGCAGCAAATCACTAAAACAGAAAAATAGCTGTTTTCTGAATATTTCAAGATGTTCTTATATTGATATGTAACAGTCATATAATTTTAAATTTTAATAACTTTCATTTTTAAGTTAAAAATATACAATATTTGACTATTTTATAAATCAAGGTATGTTTGATGTATAGCATGTTTCTTTTCAGTGTAACACCACCGATGAAACGTAAACCATGTGTTGGACGTAACATAGAAGACAGTGATGCTGATCTGTATGCAGAATACCATGGTGATGATAGTTCAGTATTTCCTAAGGATTTAAATATTGTAGGTCCCAGACAGAGAAGTTCCAGCAAACGTCAAAGTACTGAACCTCAAAGGAAACTATTTACAAATCAGCCTGATTTATCAGGTTCAGTTTACACAAACTTTTCATCACTGTCAAATGATGACCCGTTGTCTTTGACACCATCCCCTCAGCCAAATAATGCAGGGTTTGATTTTAGAGGACAATTTGGCAGTATTTATACAAACCACCAACGATTCTTAGAAGAAAACGGTGATGGTAACCTTAGGGATGGAGGACAGACCAACCAGAATGATGAATGGAGGTCAAGGAGCTGGAGTGCTGGTAAGTCTATTTAGACTTTATGAATTAGTATTGTGCTTGCATCATTTTTCTTGACAGCATAAATGTATGACAATATCTGCTTATGCTAAGGAAGTAAAGCTTGAATATATGTTGTTTAAAGACTAAAGTCCCAAGAGTATTTTTATGATTGTTACAAGTAAATTTTAATTTGATGTAGATCATACTAGTTTTAGATTATACAATTAAATGCCTAAGCAATAACCAGTGTTTTTTGAACAGGTGACCTTCCAGTAACACTGCAGCATGATGCTTCTCTGTTTGATACTGGTTTCCAAGACAACCAAGCTCCTCCCATCTGGTGTCTGTCATTCTCAGACGGTCTTGTAGCAGCTGGCTGTGGCAATGGAAGAATTGAGGTGATTTATTTTTTGTATTTTTATGCCCCCTTGGCGTCACTTTTACTGTTCTTGAGTTATGTCCCTTTATAATGTTACATGCAAGCCCTGGCATCATCTGTGTCCATGGAAAAAAGTCTCCATTTATTTCTAAAAGAAATATTTTTCCTGATTTTTTAAAGATCTGAACTGCCGATAGTGTTTCTGTTGTAAGTAGATAGATGTGAATTTGTCGATACTTACTTTCCCAGTCAAACAAATCAAACAACTTTAGTATAAAAATTTGTGTGTTGTACTTAAGTTAATGTTATTAGAACAAAAATACACTGTAAGTGAAATAAGAATTATGTTTAGATGATATTAAATATAAGGTGTTAAGTTACATTCATGCCTGAATATAGTTACAAAATACAGATGCAAATTATGTTGTATACAGATAATTATAAGACTTGAGCTAGAAGAATGTATTAGATGATAGATTTGCACAGAATGAGCTATAGATTTTGGCTCCTTGATGTCAAAAAGGCCTTAAATGGTCAAGAAGGAAGTGCATATATTGTCGTGATTTTATATGTTACAATTTAATTACAAATTTTAGTTTATTATTGAAGTAAATGTCAGTACAATCAAGGAATAGGCTGTTCCAAAATGTGTTATGTAGTTTCCTTCCTGAATTTTTTTTTTTATTTTGAGCAATTTTAATAAATTTGATGCCTGAAACATGTTTTGTCATATGAAATCAACATCTTTTTGTGTGTTTTTTGCTGTGCAGGTACTGATTTTTTATCATGGATGGATACCCCATATTCTTTATTTTTCTATCATATGTTTATATACCAAAAATGAGAAATATAACATAGAAAATATAAAGATATATATATTGTATCATATAAGTTACAAGATTTATCTTACTAAATATCTATCTTAACATGTCTTGGATTAATGTCAAGGGAATTTTATGAATATAGCTGAATTAACTAGATGGTAAGTATAATTATGAAAAATTGATTAAAAAAATTAAACAAGATTCTGTTTTCTTTGTTATACATTTTGGTTTTCATTTATATTAAAATGTCTGTTCTGTGTAGAATTCATTTACTGATATTTGTATTTTAGCTGTGGGATGGAGCATCAGGAACCCTCAAGAATATGTTTGGAGACAGTAGAGTAGGTGTCACATCTGTTTGTCTGGTGGGTAATAGGTCAGTACCTTAGTAGAAATTGATAATCTTGGTTTCTGTATTAGAAATAAACTTAGTATATTAGATAGGGAGACAAATGCTATGTAACACAAATTAATAAAAACATCAGACCATTTATAAAATTGAATTATTATGATAAATGGACATAATGCTAGAATATTTTTGAGACACTAATGTGTGCATTCTCAGTAACTTTGATCATTACCAGTAGAACTTATATTGTCTTTTATTGGTTATTACAGTCAGACTAAAGCTGATCATACAATCTTATAATGACATTCTATATAACTGACATGTTTACTGAATATACAAATATGAATTTCAGGGTTGTTGCTGCCAGGTTAAATGGAACAATAGATTTTATAGACTTAGAGACATTCCATAATCCTGCTTTCACTTCTACATCTACACCTAATACTAGTTTTACCAAAGGTATATATCAATAGTATCATCACTACAATGAAAAAAGGTTAAAAGTCAATAAAAATATCCTTGTACAGCATGTACATTTTTGTCAATCAAAATAGAAAGAAAAGAAAATAAAACCAATAGAACTTTGATAATATTAACTTGACTGAAAATACACATTGTGTATAAGTAAGAGAAAGTGAAATTAAAAATATTAAGTTATCAGGAACACCTATTCTGTTCATGTTATTTAAGTCAAGCTACTGTATTTGGGCTGTGAGTATGATTATCTGAAAATGAAACTTGCACGTTGCTTATTAACAAAAGCAGAACAAGATTGTATTTTTCTATGTATGCATATATAATTGATAAATTTCACATATACCTTCATTTAATATAATTGTTGGGCATTAAAAAAAAAAAGAAATAAGTTAAAATAATTTGCTTATTAGGTCATAGTAGGCAGTATAGTCAAGCCAAAGTGAAAGTAGAAAGTTTACAGCGACGTGATGAAATCATTCATATGACATTAATGAAGAGTATCAAGGCTCATCAACAACAAATAGTATCATTACAGTATGCAGGGACATGTAGGAAAATTATATCAGCAAGCCAAGATCATACCCTCAAGGTGAGTCAAACGATTTCATCAGGTAGCCAATATCCTCAAGGTGAGTCAAAAGATTTCATCAGGTAGCCAATATCCTCAAGGTGAGTCAAAAGATTGTATCAAAACAGTATCAACTAGTCGATACTAAAACTATTAAAAGTGGTTAAATTGACGTTGGTTTTGGGCATCATAATGTATTTCACAATTATATAAATAATAAAAGGGGACATAGAAGGAAATATATCAAAAATCAGTGAAAGGATTGATAGATTGTTTGTGTTTAACATATTTTTCAGCACTTGGTTTAATCGCTAAATACTATATAAAAGAATGATGGGGGTAAATTGGCTGACCTCATTTTGATGTTCTTTGATAGACATTAAGTTTTTATTCTTAGCTAAGTTTCTGGAAAAATAATATATCAGGCATCTATATTAAATCTGAAGAATCATTGTTAGTATACATGTCTGTCTGACTTAATTCACTTGACTTTGACCTCATTTTCATCATAAGTTGATTAATTTTTAGTTTCTTGATTATACATGTAGAAAAAACTTTGACTTCAAACTTGAAACATTTTATTCATACATAAGCTATTAATTTTAGTGTGTCAACTGTTGTTTAAAATGGTTGAATTTGTTATTAATATTTGTTACAGAATTTGTTATTAATATTTGTTACAGGTTTTCCAGATAGATGATGCTTTCTGTTTGTATACACTACATGGGCATTCTGCTAAAATTACAGTACTGTATATTGATAAGGTATGTTGTCTTTCTGTTTGTATACACTACATGGACAGTCTTCTAAAATTACTGTACTGTATATTGATAAGGTATGATGTCTTTCTGTTTGTATACACTACATGGGCATTCTTCTAAAATTACTGTATTGTATATTGATAAGGTATGATGCTTTCTGTTTGTATACACTACATGGACAGTCTTCTAAAATTACTGTACTGTATATTGATAAGGTATGATGCTTTCTGTTTGTATACACTACATGGGCATTCTTCTAAAATTAATGTACTGTATATTGATAAGGTATGATGCTTTCTGTTTGTATACACTACATGGGCATTCTTCTAAAATTAATGTACTGTATATTGATAAGGTATGATGCTTTCTGTTTGTATACACTACATGGGCATTCTTCTAAAATTAATGTACTGTATATTGATAAGGTATGATGCTTTCTGTTTGTATACACTACATGGACATTCTGCTAAAATAAATTTACTGTATATTGATAAGGTATGATGCTTTCTGTTTGTATACACTACATGGGCATTCTCCTAAAATAAATGTACTGTATATTGATAAGGTATGATGCTTTCTGTTTGTATACACTACATGGGCATTCTTCTAAAATTACTGTATTGTATATTGATAAGGTATGATGCTTTCTGTTTAAAATTACAGTATTGTATATTGATACGGTATGCTTGTCTTTCTAATTTATGTATAACTTTCGTATTTGCATCACTGTTCTAGTCATTTGGATTGAGGAATTTTAAAACCTGACATAATTATTTGAGCACCAAGTGTTTTTATAGTATGACATTCATCTGTTGTGTTATTTAGTCAAAATATATTTTGTAAGTATTAACACTATACAGAAGGTGCAGATTTTAAAGAGTAATCTTCAATTAGGAACAAATAAAACGAAAAAAATATATGCGTTATATTGATTAAGATCGTTTCTTATATGACGACCTATATATCTTCAATCAGTATAAACATAGTATATCTACTTTTGGCACAGACGCATTTATACACAAAATTGGCTGATCCGCGTTACCCACATCTTATTTATTCGACACGGTAAACTCAATTTTTGACAGTAAAACCTACCTTTTACGAAGGCCAAGCTTCAAATACAAGACGGTTATCTCTATTCTAAAGCAAAATAAACAAATCAGTCCATTTCAGTTATCATTTCGATGGAAAATGTCTTAAAACGAAATTTTTTGGAAATGATGTTATCGTCTTTAGCAACTAAACAAGGTGAAGTCATTCTGGCGTCAAATGTAAACAACAGGTGTTTTCAGGCTCCTTGTACGCCTCAGAATGTAATAAAATTAGATAAAAAGAACAGTTTTAGTTGAAAAATTTGAGTTTTTTTATGTATTATTGAATAATATATATTATTAATATTATTATTTGGGGGGTAAAACCGGACAGCCAAAACAGGATCGTGTGTATAGGGCTTTTATGGTTGACAAAATTACTGTATATGTCCTATTAGAATCGAAATAATTCATGTCAGCTGTAGATTTGTTTTCATTTAACCTTAGGTTGGGCATTTATATTCGATTATTTGTTTTCTTCTGCTAATAATATGCAGTTTGCCAATAATTGGTCATCAACCAATAACTATTTCTCAATCAGTCAGTTTGTCAATCAAACCTTATATTCAGCAATCCAGGATAACAAAAATTATCACTTTTGTTTTTGATTGTGTAGGTGCCACCATTTTATGCTGCCAGTGGTGATGCTGATGGAATTGTCAGACTATGGGACCTCCAGGCTGGTACCTGTCTACACAAGGTTAAGGGTCATGATGGTGCTGTTGTGTCAATAAATAGTACAGATAAGCATGTGATTAGTTCGGGATTGGATGATAAACTGTGTATCTGGGACAGGAAAAAAGGCTGCATACAGCATTCCCTAGATCTGGTCAGTACTACAGTGTTGGAGCCAGCTTTAATCTTTAGCAGGATAATCTTAGTCCTTATTTGCATGCCTTCTGTAGAGTTAACTGTAAACTGTTCTGATCTTGAAATATACCTAAAGAAAAATTTAATATGCATTATACTGCAATCAGCTATTTTACTATACAGATAAAGCTATACGTATAAACGTTAGCTTTATACGTCAATGACCTCAACTAACCTATTAGCCACGCCTACTTACCGGAACTACTGTATTTCATCAACAACGTCACGTCACAACCATGACAACGTGTAGTAACAATTGTCAAACTTTTGTAAATTTAAACTTGTTATGTCTTGAAATTCGTTATTTACATACCATATTTATTAAATACTATTAAATTAGTTTATTTTCTCTTTCTAATTCCTAAAAAATGTCAATGTCTTATCGCCTGGACTTTATGAGTTACTACGCTTATAGGGAAATACCCAACAATGGTACCCCAAGAGGGAAATTCCAAACACTTTTTTTAACAATAAATTTGTTACGTATTTTATTTTATTTTTTATGTTTTTTATCGATTGCAGTATAAAGACAATATACGTATAGTGTCTTGAAATATGAAATTTATTTGTATTCGGCACGAAACAGGGGGAAATGCTCGGTAAACCTTGCATTTCCCCCCGTTTCTTAGCCTCATACAAATAAATTTCATATTTCAAGACACTATACGTATATTGTCTAATTACAAGACAAATTAAATAATATGTTGCAGTATTAAACTGTATCAAAGCATATTTATATCAAAAGCTAAAGAAGCGAATATAAAAAAGTAATAAGTAAGTATTGAAATATGAGTTTCTTTTCTAGCTGTAAATAATTCTCATAATCATTTATTATTTGATAAATAATTTGAAAGTTGAAATAAGGTTTAATGAAAAAAGTCTTTTCCACATTATGATGTTTATGCTTTACTGAATAATGTTTGATATTTTAACTTAAATACTGTTGTTTACAGGACCCTTGTGGTAATAATTGTTTGTCATTGCTGTCCAAAGATTTATTGGTCACTGGTGGACAGGTCAGTATATGTTTTGATATTAATTTACCACAAACAAGAGACCCTCTACTTTTTAAATGGTATTTTATGGAATCTGTAAATCTCATTCAGTCATTCTAGTTAAACAACTTATATTCTAATGCTATTTTAATGTAATTTTTCATTAGGTAAAATTTACAGTCAAATCCACAGTTGATTTGTCGTAACTAAGGAGTTAGCCATCATATTGGATTGCTTGGATCAACAAATCTTTATAACAACAATATAATAGAAAAAAAAAGAACACCTTCCTCACGTTTTCCCATGATGTTTATGTGCTAAAAACATTCTTGAAGTTTTGCAAAATTTTATTTATTTTCAAATTTATAATTTTTTTCAAGCACTTATGTATTATTTATTTTTATTATGTATTAGAATCGGAATAAAAGTACTGTAGTTGAAGAGTTGCCACCGTCAATTTTGATTTGATTTTTCGTAATTATCCGTTTTACTGGCTCCGCTACATGTTGCCAGTAAAACTGCATTTGCGACCATCAAATCGCAAATTGGAGGCGGCAACTCTTTAACTACAGTACTGTTATTCCATGAATATACTTTGATGAAACATAAAGTAAATGATCTGCAGATAAAACTTTTTGCATGTTATCTGAATCTGAAGTGAGCATCATTTTGTCAACAATATTATTAAAAATTCTGAATTGTTCAAAATATATATGCAATATCACAAAAAAAGCAAATGAAAATGACTCTGTCTTTTTCACGAAGAATAGACAAGCATAGAAAATTTTATGATAATACCACATCACTAAATAGCTGATTTTATAAATTTTTGATTTTAAGAAGGATTCAAAGGCCTAATGATCTCAAAATTACCATAATTTCATTGTAATGTTAAGGCATTAACTGTAGTTTAGAAATTGATTAATATTTAGCTGTATTTCTTTTTTCATTTGCACATGTATGTATTGTATAATGTAGAACTAAACAGAGTAAATATATTTCAGGGGTGTATACACTTGTTAGATATAATTAAAGGACAGATTATAAAGACAATCAGTTTAGGTGACAGTACAGACAAAATGGCCTTTGTCCATCAGATAAAAGTGGTTGAGAGTACAGTGATAGTTTGCGATTATGCCAGTGACATGAAAGTCATCCATTTCCCAACTGTGCTTGAGAAAGTTGAGTAGTACAGGAAAGGGCAAAAAAAGTTCTTGAATGTTATTGAGACAGGGTTTCCTACTGGATATTATTTATAGAATGTATTAAAGAAATATGTATGAACAAGTTGGTTGCAGAAAAGGGGAATTAATTATTCATGTAAGAGAAATCACCAATATATGAACCGAGCATTGAAAAGAGTATAAAAAAAAAAAGATGGATGATTTAAGATATGAAGAAACAAAGACCAGTTATTGTGTATTGTTTGGTTAGTTAACCTTTGTTTTAAAGTTGTGTAGACATATTTCATTTAATTCATTTAATACACGTTGGTCTGGATCATACTACATTAAGAAAATCATTTTTACACACTTACATTTAAAGCATACTGTTTTAGGCAGCATTTAAATTGTGGTTCAATTGTGATATGATGTAAACATTTTACCTGAGGGTTATTCCAGAAAAAAATATGGGGAAATAGGTTGGAAGGCATTAGAATTTAATGTTCAAAAGTACAATCAACTGTGCTTTTTGTTTTTCTGGATAAGCCTAGATGAACAATGATCCAGTGACTTGTTAAAGATTTTATATGGTTTTAATCATGTCCATGAAGATATTATTAAAAGGATTTTTGGAGTAAGGGTTGTGTCAGAAATCAGTATGAATGGTTTTGGCAGGCACTGCTGTATAAAAAATGAATGTTAGGATTGAACAAATATAGGGCCTAATCATAAATTTTAATACATGATCAGGTAAAATAACCTTCAGCAAGATCATACATTTATTTGTTGAGAAGGACTATGTTTAAATTTAATTATGATATGAAGAAGCACTGCCATGATCATATGATGTAATAATAAGACTTATTTTCAAAGTATCAATTATTGTTTATGATCTCATGTTTATTCCTTTTTCATGTGATAAAGTCAAAGCTTTGTTGCATAAGATTGAAAAGAGCTTGTAATTTATGTTAATCGTTTTTTAGCTCACCTGGCCCAAAGGGCCAAGTGAGCTTTTCTCATCACTTGGCGTCCGTCATCCGTCGTCGTTGTCAAATTTTTACAAAAATCTTCTCCTCTGAAACCACTGGGCCAAATTTAACCAAACTTGGCCACAATCATCATTAGGGTATCTAGTTTAAAAAATGTGTCCGATGACCCCGCCAACCAACCAAGATGGCCGCCATGGCTAAAAATAGAACATAGGGGTAAAATGCAGTTTTTATACGACCGCAAAAAAATTTTTGTGGTCGTATATTGGTATGACGTTGGCGTCGGCGTCGTCGTCCGAAGACGCATTAGTTTTCGCACTCTAACTTTAGTTTAAGTGAATGGATCTCTATGAAATTCTACCATAAGGTTCAATACCACAAAAGGAAGGTGGGGATTGATTTTGGGGGTTATGGTACCAACAGTAAAGGAATTAGGGGCCAAAAAGGGGCCAAAAATAAGCATTTTCTAGTTTCCAGACAATAACTGTGGAACGGTTTATGGATCTCTCTGAAATTATACTACAAGTTTCCATACCACAAAGGGATGGTTAGGATTTGCTTTGGGGGGTTATGGCTCAAACCGTTTAAGAATTAGGGGCAAAAAAGGGGGAAAAACAAGGTTGTCCTGGTTAATGGACAAATACTTTAGTACAAAACATAATTTAAAGCAGTGTAAGGGAGATAAATCAAATACATCGTTGAAATTATCTCCCTTACACTACTTTTAAATTATGTATAAAGTAATGGTTAATGAACAATTAAGATAATTTAAAACAGTGTAAGGGAGGTAATCCAAATACAATGTTTTGGTTACTTCCCTTACACTGCTTTTAAATTATGTTTAAGGAAATGCATATTTATAAAGGAAGACCAGTAAAAATATCTGCAAATGTTGCATCTTTTTTTTTTACAACAAAATCCATATGAAAGATTTGACACTATATTTTAAATTCTATTATAAAATAGATTAAGTTAGCACTATGGTAAATTTAAATGGGTAATTATGGTTGCAAACTCAATTAGAAATTTGAATTGAGATTATGACCATATCTTGAGGGAAAGAATTTTTTTGGGGGAAAAAGGGGGGGTGGGTTTAATGAAATTGTGGGGGGTCAATTTTTTCTCATTTCAGATTTCAGAAATTAAAAAGAATTATTCTTCAAATATTATTTTTTTTTCAAATTTCAAATATTGAAAAATTTCAAGAAGTAATCTTTAATTGGACAGTATGGTGCATTAGATTTGTAAAATCTTTGACCACATTTATTTATTCTTTGATATGCTGAATCTAACTGTGTATTTAGATTTTTATTTTGGGTCCAGTTTTCAAATTGGTCTACATTAAGGTCCAAAGGGTCCAAAATTAAACTTTGTTTGATTTTAACAAAAATTGAATATATGGGGTTCTTTGATATGCTGAATCTAAACATGTATTTAGATTTTTGATTTTTGGCCCAGTTTTCAAGTTGGTCCAAATTGGGGTCCAAAATTAAACTTTGTTTGATTTCAACAAAAATTGAATATATGGGGTTCTTTGATATGCTGAATCTAACCATGTATTTAGATTTTTTATTTGTGGACCCCGCTATCAAATTGGTTCATATTGAGGTCAAAAGAGTCCAAAATTAAACTTTGTTTGATTTCAACAAAAATTGAATATACGGGGTTCTTTGATATGCTGAATCTAACCATGTATTTAGATTTTTGATTTTTGGGCCCCGTTATCAACTTTGTCCACATTGAGGTCAAAAGGGTCCAAAATTAAACTTAGTTTGATTTTAACAAAAATTGAATTCTTGGGGTTCTTTGATATGCTGAATCTACACATGTATTTAGATTTTAGATTTTTGGCCCAGTTTTCAAGTTGGTCCAAATTGGGGTCCAAAATTAAACTTTGTTTGATTTCAACAAAAATTGAATATATGGGGTTCTTTGATATGCTGAATCTAACCATGTATTTAGATTTTTTATTTGTGGCCCAGTTTTCAAGTTGGTCCAAATTGGGGTCCAAAATTAAACTTTGTTTGATTTCAACAAAAATTGAATATATGGGGTTCTTTGATATGCTGAATCTAACCATGTATTTAGATTTTTTATTTGTGGCCCAGTTTTCAAGTTGGTCCAAATTGGGGTCCAAAATTAAACTTTGTTTGATTTCAACAAAAATTGAATATACGGGGTTCTTTGATATGCTGAATCTAACCATGTATTTTGATTTTTGGGCCCCGTTATCAACTTTGTCCACATTGAGGTCAAAAGGGTCCAAAATTAAACTTAGTTTGATTTTAACAAAAGTTGAATTCTTGGGGTTCTTTGATATGCTGAATCTAAACATGTGTTTTGATTTTTGATAATGGGCCCAGTTTTCAAGTTGGTCCAAGTTGGGGTCCAAAATTAAACTTTGATTTCAACAAAAATTGAATATATGGGGTTCTTTGATATGCTGAATCTACACATGTATTTAGATTTTAGATTTTTGGCCCAGTTTTCAAGTTGGTCCAAATTGGGGTCCAAAATTAAACTTTGTTTGATTTCAACAAAAATTGAATATATGGGGTTCTTTGATATGCTGAATCTTACCATGTATTTAGATTTTTTATTTGTGGGCCCGCTATCAAATTGGTTCATATTGAGGTCAAAATGTCCAAAATTAAACTAAGTTTGATTTCATCAAAAATTGAATTATTGGGGTTCTTTGATATGCCAAATCTAACCGTGTTTTTAGATTTTTAATTTTGGGTCCCATTTTTAAATTGGTCTACATTAAGGTCCAAAGGGTCCAAAATTAAACTTAGTTTGATTTTAACAAAAATTGAATTCTTGGGGTACTTTGATATGCTGAAAGTTGGGCCCCGTTATCAACTTTGTCCACATTGAGGTCAAAAGGGTCCAAAATTAAACTTAGTTTGATTTTAACAAAAATTGAATTCTTGGGGTTCTTTGATAAGCTGAATCTTGACATGTGTTTAGATTTTTGATAATGGGTCCAGTTTTCAAGTTGGTCCAAGTTGGGGTCCAAAATTAAACTTTGTTTGATTTCAACAAAAATTGAATATATGGGGTTCTTTGATATGCTGAATCTAGCCATGTATTTTGATTTTGGACATTGGACTATAATTGGTAAATTAAAAAAATTGAAGTTCTTAGACCACATTCTTTCTGTGTCAGAAACCTATGCTGTGTCAAATATTTAATCACAATCCAAATTCAGAGCTGTATCAAGCTTGAATGTTGTGTCCATACTTGCCCTAACTGTTCAGGGTTCGACCTCTGCGGTCGTATCAAGCTGCGCCCAGCGAAGCATTTTATTGGTTTATATCTCTGAAACTAAAGCATTTAGAGTAAATCTGACATAGGGTAAAACTGATTATCAGGTCAAGATCTATCTGTCCTGAAATTTTCAGACAAATCTGACAACCTGTTGTTGGGTTGCTGCCCCTGAATTGGTAATTTTAAGGAAATTTTGCAGTTTTTGGTTATTATCTTGAATATTATTATAGATAGAGATAAACTGTAAACAGCAATAATGTTCAGCAAAGTAAGATCTACAAATAAGTTGTCATGACCAAAATTGTCAGTCGACCCCTTTAGGAGTTATTGCCCTTTATAGTCAATTTTTAACAATTTTTTGTAAATTTTTGTAATCTTTTACAAAAATCTTCTTCTCTGAAACTACTGAGACAAATTTAACCATACTTGGCCATAATCATTATTAGGGTATTTAGTTTAAAAAATTTGTCCGATGACCCCGCCTTCCAACCATCATGGCCGACTTGGTTAAAAATAGAACATAGGGGTAAAATGCAGTTTTTGGTTTATATCTCTGAAACTAAAGCATTTAGAGCAAATCTGACAGGTGGCAAAAATGTTCATCAGATTTAGATTTATCTGCCCTGAAATTTTCAGACGAATCCGACAACCCGTTGTTGGATTGCTGCCCCTGAGTTAGTAATTTTACAAAAATTTTGCAGTTTTTTGTTATTATCTTAGATATCATTATAATATCTAATATCTAATACTATTAATTATGATTTTAACCTTATTTTACATGATTTCCAAAGCATCAGTAAATACAGGTTAGCGACA